GCCTACGCTCACTCTTGGGACTAACACAAACACCTCAACGTTTGGTGAGTATTAACAACAGTATGTGTGATGTCAACACTGGACAAATTAATTCTTTTTCATCACGTCATTGATGATTAAAAATGGTGTGCTCCTTTTCACCGTGGCGTACCAATTGTTTGATCTAGAAATTCCTAATCTTGGTTGAAATATTGGTCTCTCTTTTTTTTTTTTTTAAGGGTTCAGTGGTACTGGTGCTGGTGGTGGCCTTTTTGGGAACAAAACTGCTGCAACAGGTCTTGGACCAGTATTGGGTGCTGGCTTTGGAGCAGGTATGTTTTAGGATGTAGATTGTTTTTATCATTTTTGCTACTGCTAGAGTTAAACATGCCTTCAAAATATTTATTCATACTTTCAGGTGTAGGAACTGGCCAGACGTCATTGTTTGGGAACAACCAGAAACTGGGCTCCACCTTGGGCTCAGTGGGCACTTTTGGCGCTGGAGGCTTTAACACTGGTGCCAGCACACTGAATTTTGGCGCTCCTCAACAGCCTATTGGTGTGTGCAAATTCTTCAGAAGGAATCAATTGCCAGAGCTGATTTAAATCATGTTGATAAGTTGAATACTTCATGTGTGGAAGATTACGTTGAGGCTTTGTGAAGTAAATAATCAGTAAACTGACTGTGTTTTGTACACAGCTCTGACTGACCCCAGTGCAGGAGCTGCTCAGCAGGCTGTGCTCCAGCAGCAGATCAGTGCGCTGGCCTATTCGCCTTTTGGAGACTCACCTCTCTTTAGAAACCCACTGTCAGACCCCAAAAAGAAGGAGGAGGTTTGATTTCTTTTTACATTACATCACCCATGTTTTCATTAGGGCAGCGTGATTTTTGTGAGAGAAAAAGTCTAGAACTTGCAATTGATTTTTATGTAGTTTATTTATTTATTTATTTATTTATTTATTTATTTTTCTTTTGTTTAATTTCATAGTTAAATTAAATTTGTTAAACTTTTATATATATATGTATGTATATATATATATATATATATATATATAGATAGATAGATAGATAGATATATATATATATATATATATATATATATATATATAATAAGGCAAAAAAAATAGAAAAATCTTAAAAAAAAAAAAAATGTTGTGCATTATTTTATGGTAATATAATAAGAGTATTTGTCTAAAATAATTTGTCCAAAAAAATTAATACTTGTGTTATTATTTTGATAGAAAACTACAGGGATCACCTAAAGCAGGGGTCACCAATCCTGGTCCTGGAGGGCCGGTGTCCCTGCAGGGTTTAGCTCCAACTTGCCTCAACACACCTGCCTGGATGTTTCAAGTATACCTAGTAAGACCTTGATTAGCTTGTTCAGGTGTGTTTGATTAGGGTTGGAGCTAAAATCTGTAGGACACCGGCCCTCCAGGAACAAGTTTGGTGACCACTGACCTAAAATCTCTATAATTGATAAGCTCTTCCTATTGCAAGTTTTGGAAGAAGTTGTTCCAAACTGCTGTGTAACTCACTCAAGCTGTACCCAGAAGACAACAGTGCTGTGCCTTTTGATGTGTTTAAATTGTGTAGCCCAAATTTGAGGTTTGATTTAAATTCGTGTGAGGCTCCAAAAAAAAACGAAACCTTTCTTTTCCCTTTCTTAGCGTCTGAAACCCACAAATCCAGCTGCCCAGAAGGCCTTGACTACCCCTACTCAATACAAACTCACACCTCGTCCTGCCACCCGCGTGCGCCCCAAAGCACTCTCCTCCTCAGGCTCTTCCAAATCTCAGCTCTTTGATGGGCTTGATGATGATGAGCTCTCTCTTAACAACGGGGCTTTCATGCCTAGGTAGGATCCTGACTTCTGTCTTTTTTATCACGTTCAATTGAAAAATATTATTTAAATCAAATTACATATGTTAAGCTGCTCTTGTTTGATTTTTACTTTATGTACATTTTGTAGTACTCTAACTTGTTTTGCCATGTCAACATTGAACGTTATAGTCGTAGCTTTAAAATAAATGGTTATCTAAATAGGAACCTGACCTTATAACTCAAGCTAGTACATGTGTGATAACTAAGTGTTTCTGTCTGCATATTATATTTCAGGAAGAGCATAAAGAAGCTTGTGTTGAAGAATCTGAACAACAGCAGTCTGTACAACAACTCATTAAACCGAGAGGCTGATGATTTGGCCTCTCCTTCAGAGTACCCACAGAATGGGCTCAGGTTAGTGCTCACCCATTCTTAAACAGTTCATCAAGATGAAACTGCAAATGTTAAAGGGCCATGAAACCCCCTCGTTTCAGCAGGGTGTTTTCACACCTCTTCTTTGGAAAAAGTCAGAAAAGTGGGCGTGTCCAGCTCTGTTTAGGGGGGAGTGTCGGAGGAACTAAAGTGGGAGGGTGTGGGAGTGTCGATTTGGGCACGCGCGAGTTTCAGAGTCAAAATACACACACACACACACACATACATACAGGAGAATGTGATGGTCTTTAACCTACATGGACATCTGTAGTCGAATTATTAGCCAAATTATTAAATGGTGGACTTTAACTGCAGTTTGGCTCTTTCATTCAGGGAATTCATTCATGCCCCTCTCGACACACGAGATATTTGATTCGAGGAGCTGCTCTAAGCGTGTATTTTTCATGCAATGTTTTATACCGCACGGCGAATGAGAGAAAAAAACCCTCTGCATTTCCCAGAAACTTAGATGCACACGACAGGTAGTGTCAGAAAGCCGCGCGTGTTATTCCGGTCACTAAATGCGGTAAAAACCCTACACGAGGTTAAAGTTTGGTTGTGGTGCTAACGTGTTTACACTCTGTGCAATAGTTTGTTAGATACGAACAAACTGAATAAACAAAGAGCACTGGTCGCTCACTTACCAAATCTGTAGAGACAGGACAATCACCAGCAACTAGAGCCGCGTCTTTATGAAGAGAATACTACAAACGATTCCAGATCCCAGCGTTTGCAGATGAGAACAGCTCTCAGGTAAACAATAATCCTCCTTAGACTCGTAAGTTATTGTTGTCGCGCGTCGCGTACACTGTAATCCACACGTGAGTCTGAGCTCTCACAGAGAGAAAATTAAAACGAAACTTAACTGCAGCAAACTATAAAAGCAACACTTCACGCTTGTTTTGCCAACACAACGTGGCGTCTCTGTCCTGAAAACACGGTGATAGTAATGAATATTAATGAAGTTGCACAATAGAGTGCGCTGATTGGTTTGACCCAAGCCTTACTCATGCATTAATGCAACACACTGTAAGACGTAATAAGACTCACTCAGGCACAGACGCCCAGTCTGCACGCTGGAATACACACTATTATGTCATGACCGTGACGCAGCTTCAAAAATTCGTTTCTAACAGGAAGTACGAATTTGCTTAAAATAACGCAAAAACAACCAATTTACACTTTTTAGTGAAATATAGGTGTCCTAATAGTGTTTTTAGCAGTGTGGGACACATATATGACTGTCAACAGCTCAAAAAATGTGTTTTGGTGTTTCGTGACCCTTTAATGCATCTTCACACTTTCTCTCTCTTCAGTCTGAGTTTGGATGAAGGAGAACCCAGAGAAGCAAATATGGAGAGAAGAGGGGAGGATGATCTGGAGGTCTCAAAGTTTTACACCAACCCAATCACCAAACCCATTCCTCATGCCCAGCTGAGCCCCTTGCTTCAGGACACCATCTCCGAGTTTAACATGCGGGGATCTGGCAGTCATCGCAACGGGCTGGAGGCCAGCAGTGAAGACCTCTCTCTAGCAGAGGACTCCATTCAGGAGGAGAGAGATGAGGAGCTGGAGGCTCAGAAACCTCCTCACCCAGCTGGTACGATGGAATTTTCTTGTTTTGATTTAATTACTGAAGCTTTTACCATAATATACGGTATTATATTATGAACCTAAGCTGCAAAAAGGTTACTTTTACAGCGATAATAACCATAGACTACTTGCTGTATTGCTTAATTGTATATACAGGGGTTGTATGTACAATTTATGGTTTGAGGTTTCATGGGTAAATATGATCAGCCTGGTGGCCAATCTTCGCTGATTGCACATTTTTTACCAATAAAAGCAGAGTGTAAAGGTTTAATTAGCAGAGTTTTGGCTAAACTACTGCAATACACACAATATTGTGGGTGACGTATCAGAGGACAAATTGTTGGTTCACATATGTGATCAAGGCAGCAAGTCTTTGACGTATCAAGAACCATGTTATTCAGGGTAATGTCAGCAAATTACCAAGAAGGACGACCTACATCCAACAGGACTAAACTGTGGAAGTAAGAGAAAGCTGTCTGAAATAATGCTGGGGGAAATGATAATAATCGGCCAAATAAATGATTTATGAAAATAATGCATGTTTTAAACTATTTTGTTGCATGACATTTTGTTGTAAGCATGACAAACTGGGAAGACTTTACAATAAAGTATCATTAACAAATGCTATTGTCAAAAATGATTTTATGATGCTGATGCTGCTGCTGATGATGATAATATCATAAAATCATCAATGATAATATTTTTGTTAAAGTTGATAAAAAAACAAACAACAGAAATGTATTAGTTGACTTTAATTAGTCAATTATGACTTTAACATTAACTAAGAAATTAACATCAGCTAAGGTTAATAAATGTTTTTATAGTTTTTATCAGGACTATGTAACCTTAAGGCTCCTACACACCGGGACGTTTTTAGTTTGCGTTTATCGTCAGCCTTTTACGAGACGTTTTTCAGTATTCAAACCCAAGCGCTTTTCACTGGCGTCAAGCAGAGGAGTATGCTAAATCACTCTTGACGTTAGATGGCGCTGCACAACTTTAAGCTTCTGACATCCGCTTATAACAAAGAAGAAGAGGAGGAGAGGAAGTTCACACGTTTGTTTATTAAGTTACTGGGGACTCATTCAAGCAACAGCTCCAGCTCTAGCGATGAACACAGAGCAATAAGCGGCTAAACGTTCATATCGCCTCTGGGCATCTTCTTCATTGACAGTTTTGCGCTTGAGCGCCTCCAAGTGCTGCTTACTGTAACTTCAGCAGCTCTGTGCACATTAACAAAAGTGCCGATCTGATTGGTGGAAAAGGTTTTGACGCGCGCGTCAAAACAAAAAAACAAGCATTAGGCGTTATTTTTTTTAAATGACGCTTTTGCGCCTGACGTTTTGCGCGTTGGTGTGCACAATCACATTGAAGCCCTTTGTTTAGTTACGAGGCGTTAAACGTCGACAGTAAACGCGAGCAAAAAACATCTCGGTGTGTACAGGCCTTTACACTACAGCGAACAAACGTAAGGTCTGTAAATAGTCACAGAATTTTCAATGTTGTACACTAGATTAGATTAACATGGAAATGTTAATGTTTGAAAATAAATCAACTATTACATCTTCAACATTAGGTTTTGTTATTTTAAAAACCACTAAAAAAACAACAGTCTAAATATTACTAAAAGCCTTTAAACATTTTATTATTGTTCACTGTATTTACTTTGCATGTTCATTATAACATTATATTGAATTATTGATTATCGTCTGCTTTCAGGTATAGTTCTTAGCCGTGTTGGCTACTACACCATCCCTTCGATGGAAGAGCTGGGAAAGATGCTGAATGAGAATGGGGAGTGTATTGTTGAGAACTTCACCATCGGCAGAAAAGGTAAAATAAACTATTGCATGAACAAAAGAACGAATGATGTTTCAAGTAGCCCAGCAGTGGAGCACGATGCAATGATGTGACTTGGTCCTGTTTTTTTTTTTTTTTTTCAGGCTATGGGTCAGTTTTCTTCCCTGGGGAAGTTAATCTTACCAACATGATCCTGGATGAGATTGTACACTTCAGACGCAAGGAGATAATCGTGTACCCTGATGACAAAGACAAGCCCCCTGTTGGAGAGGGACTAAACAGGTATTGTAAATGCTCAACAGTGCTAGATTTTCACTCGCACTTGTGATTATGACAGTTTTGTGCTGAAGAGTCACAAATGAATCTGTACGACCTGTGTGTACTGTATTTAGGAGCTTATTGGAAAAAAAGACTTGGTCTAAAACTTGTGTTATGAAACTGGTGGTCTTTCAAAATGGTATATGCCATTCCTTAATTGTAATTTTAATAGAGATAACATTTTGGAATTAAAAAAATAGAATCTCTAATTTTTATTTATTTATTGTTTAATAAATTCGTGCAAATAAGGTAAAAATAATGTTGTGTAAAAAGTTGTAAATGGAAATCCTTTATTGCATATGTCTGAATGAGCAGCTGCCAATAGTAAAGCAAAGGTATTTGAATTTTGAGTTTGTATAAAGTTAAAAGTCCTGTTCTAAACAATTAATACAGTTTAATGTAGCCCTATAAATCATAAAATCAACAACTGAACATATTTTCAGGAATAGCGGAAACCTGTGACCATTGACATGTGTAGTAGGAAAGACAAATGCTATGGTCAATGGTTACTGGTTCGCACTTTGCACAATTGCATTAGTCGGTGATCTATCCCTGTTTGGATCCCTCTGTTAAACAGTTTTTGAAATACCTCTGCTTAATTGTGCTTCTCCTTATTCTCTTCATCAACATCACATCGATTCTTAACATTTGCAGACGCGCTGAGGTGACTCTAGATGGAGTGTGGCCCAATGACAAGACAACTTGCTGTCAGATCAAGAGTCCAGATAGGCTGACTGAGATGAACTATGAGGGTCGGCTTGAAGCAGCTTCACGCAAACAGGGCGCCCGCTTCTTGGAGTACCGGCCTGAAACTGGCTCTTGGGTCTTTGAGGTATGAACATTTTACTGAACTGAAGACATTCTGTTAAAGCTCTGTCAGAGCACTTTTACGTTAGCTTAGCATAAATCATTGAACTAGATTAGACCCTCAGCATCTTGCTCAAATTTCAAAAGAGTTTCCATAATTTTCCTATTTAAAGGGCACCTAGGTTACCCCTTTTTTCAGATTTAATATAAGTCTTTTGCGTCTCTAGAATGTGTATATAAAGTTTCAGATCAAAATACCCATCAGATTTTTCATTATACCTTTTACAAGATGCTGTCTTATACTGATTTCCAGCAGGGGGTGGTTTTGTCGTACTGCGCCTTTAAGCTTTTTCTTTCCCGCCCACTGTTTCTACATGCCTCCTCCCTTAGCTGCGTTAGACAACAGACAGACTTAAAGGAAGAAGGTCTCACGTAGCGTTTGTGAGATACTACAGTAAGAACTAACCTTTACTAATCAGTATTGTGAAGTTGCATTGAGTCACACACAATATCGTTACAAAGTTAACACACACACACACACGCACACACACACACACACACACACACACACACGCGCAGGCAGGCAGACAGGCAGACAGACAGAGCGCGCTTAGCCTAGTTAAGGCTAACCTCAAGTGTGGATATCTGTTATGCTAATGTACAAAATAAACCTGATTTAACTTCCACAAACCGGGATTGAAGCGTCTTCTTTTATAATTGTTCTGACACGCGGCTGTGCTGATGAAGTAAAGCTAAAGTAAATCGCTGTAATTAATTACACACATACTCTGTTTTAAAACACTTTAAACATGTGAAACTTACTCTTAATCACATTTGATGATGATTGCTGATCCTAGCGAACAGAACAGACCTTTTATTCCCGGTTGCTTTGCGTATGTCTGCCTGGTCTTGTTGACATACACGGGACTACCGGAACATGTTAATGCGCGCAGCTGTCAATCAATTCGGTGGGCGGGGGGAATCGCACACCTACGTAATGGTGCGATCGATTTGAAAACAGCTCCAATTGGCTGACCCTTTTTTTGTAGTTAAATTGAAAAAAAAGGACTGGGTGTGTACATATCACCCCAGTATGACGGTCTATACACTATACCAACACACAGATCTGTCCAAACAGCTTGAAAAGTAGATTTTTTTACCATAGGTGCCCTTTAAACCATGACTCTTCTCTAGTTTTGGTGTGTACTAAGAGCATTGTAAAATTAAAAGTTGCTGTTTTCTAGGCTATTCTATACTAGACTATAAGAACTATACTCACTCTGGCTTAATGATCAATATATTTTGCTACCGTGCCATGATACTCACTGCACTGTTATTTACCAAGCTGGGGACTATTTTCAGGTGCTGTATAATATCACAGCCATGTGGGAGCCATATCAACCTAGGAAGTAGTAACTTTTCATTGGTCTTGATGCACAATATAGAGAAGTCATACTTTAAAAAAAGAAAGTTATCAATGTTGTTTTTTTTTAACGAGATGCTAATGGTCTAATTTGATATAATGATGTATACTAAGTAGGGATGTAAATGTATCAGAATTTCACGGTACGGTAATACCTCGGTATGAATGTCAGGGTACGGTATTTATTGAATCATTTACAGGAAAAAACAAAACTTATGAAAATACTCCAAAAAAGTGCCAAAAGTGTCAATGACATACAAATTAGCCATCTATCTGTAAGCTTTGAAACAGGAACTTCAATTTTAATAACAAAAAAATATTAAACCATGTAAAAAAAATAAAGTTTCAATTTAGTATTGTTGAAAACTCATCACATTCAACATTTAATCACTCACTCACTTAGATAGAGATGGGTTTAAAGGAAAGTTATCATATAAATATAATCTGGTAAAAGCTGGTATCTCTGGGCATTTACAATGTCCCCTGCAACAGAAAAAAAACCCTCTCATTTGGGACTGAGGTTTCTGGGACAGAGATATGACTTGGCCCAGGTTGACAGCAGTGGGTAACGTTGTGCATTGTCTTTCCCCCACTTGAGAGGACAAACCATGAGTAAAATAGAGATCTCATGTCTGCATCAATCTGAACAGTGTGCTGACAACACCGCTATTCAGTACGCGCGCGACAACACAGCTGATAAGAACTCGCGCGACAACACAGCTGATAAGAACTCGCGCGACAACACAGCTGATAAGAACTCGCGCGACAACACAGCTGATAAGAACTCGCGCGACAACACAGCTGATAAGAACTCGCGCGACAACACAGCTGATAAGAACTCGCGCGACAACACAGCTGATAAGAACTCGCGCGACAACACAGCTGATAAGAACTCGCGCGACAACACAGCTGATAAGAACTCGCGCGACAACACAGCTGATAAGAACTCGCGCGACAACACAGCTGATAAGAACTCGCGCGACAACACAGCTGATAAGAACTCGCGCGACAACACAGCTGATAAGAACTCGCGCGACAACACAGCTGATAAGAACTCGCGCGACAACACAGCTGATAAGAACTCGCGCGACAACACAGCTGATAAGAACTCGCGCGACAACACAGCTGATAAGAACTCGCGCGACAACACAGCTGATAAGAACTCGCGCGACAACACAGCTGATAAGAACTCGCGCGACAACACAGCTGATAAGAACTCGCGCGACAACACCGCTATTCAGTACGCGCGCGACAACACCGCTATTCAGTACGCGCGCGACAACACAGCGGATAAGAACTCGTATTCATCCCCGCTTCTAGCAGCACACTCTATTTCCGCATTACTGGATCTGTAACGACAACAGACCGCAAGGGATGATGGTCAAGCATGGGCTGATGGGAATTGTAGTTTTCGCTACCTCCCGTTCGCTTCATTCGCCTGAGCAAATTTTCTCAGAAGACCTATAGTTTTACCGAGTCATGCGACTTCGGTAATATCGAAAAAAATTAATATTGCGGTATGACGGTATATACAATACCGTTACATCCCTAATACTAAGCTATGCTAAAAGTGCTCTTTCTAGACTTGGAGATGGATTCAATTGTGGTCAAACTCAACTGTTTAACTCAACTTGTAAAATGAGACCATTTCCTAAAGAAGTGCTGCTTTTTAAATCTCTCAATCTCTTTCCATGTTTTATCATCGGACCGATTTTTATACTGTGCTCTTCTCATGTATTGTCTGTTTAAATGTAACCTGAAATCTCTTCTACAGGTGGCCCACTTCTCAAAGTATGGCTTGCAGGAATCTGATGAAGAGGAGGAAATTTCTCCAGCTAAACTCGACCTGAAGAAGCTGAAGACAGCGGTTCCTCCAGGGCTTGCGCAGCTTCCTCTGACCCAGCAGCAGGGGGCGCCACAGGCTCAGGTAGACTGAGGAGCACTGAGTCTGACACACATTGGTTTCCAGGGGCTATTGCAGTTCACTTGTACCTGCTGTGCTTTCCCACAGTGCAGATCAACACTAGCAGCAGGAGAAGAGCAAAGATTTAGTGGTTCAAATGCTTCTCAGCTGTGATGCCAAAGGAATTGGGAGTTACTGAAATGCTGTGCACACATTTTAAATATTGAAAGTTTACAAAAAAAAGGGGTAGAGGCTTTTATCTAATATTTATAGTTTAAACAGCTTGTTCTTTGCCGTTGAAATTGGCAGCTGCTTTGATTTTAAAGGCTAGATCTTTAACTTGGAGTGGAATATTGTTTAGATTTTCTTCCAGAAAAATAATTTGTGCTGGGTTTTTCTTAATGTGTTTTAATGAAATACTTTGAATGAAATGCAGAAAAGCAATGTTTCTTTATATTAGCCAAATTATGAAGCATATTTGTATATTTATATAGGGGTTTGCGTGACCAGGTGTATTCTAGTTTTATTTTTAACAGGTGATTGAGAGATTATACGAGAATGTTTTACTTGGAAGTGTGATAGTGGAAAATTGTATGAATGTGTGTGAATTTATTTGAGATTTCCATGTATTTCTATGACAAATAAAAGTATAATAAAGCTGAAATGTTTGTCAGGACGTTTTATGGGTACATGATGCTTCCATAGCAGTGTTTTTGATACTTTATTACTATTCAAAAGTAGTTCTCATGTCTGATACAGATGGGAAAAGCATCAGTTGTAAGATGATGCAGCACTGTACTCTGCACTCAGATCAAGAATGAACAGCTGACTTGATCTCTTTGTGTGCATGTATAGAGTACTGCGGTTCTTGAGCTCCTCAGCCGTGTGTCGGAGTTGGACAGTGACATGGCTGACATTACTCAAGAGCACCCGGTCGAGAGTATTTTGGACGATGAGGATGGCGAAAGAACTTCTTTCGAAGAGAACAAACTGAGATCCGAGACCCCTGCTGAGAACGAGCCCGTGTCTGCATCCAGCCAGATCGCTTCCTCTATGGGCATCAACCCTCATACTTTACAGGTAGCGTGTGTGTGTGTGTGTGCGTGTGTGTGCGCGTGTGTGTGTGTGTGTGTGTGTGTGTGTGTAATCAGGTCACTGATTGCAAAAAAAGAAGTTGCATGTCTTGTCATTTATTAAAATGTTGATTTGTGTTTCATACAGATTATGAAGGCCTCTCTGTTTGCAGACGACGATGAGTGTGACATGTTTCAAGAGCATGTTTCTTCAAAGCTCATTCAAGATGTGGCTTCAACCAAACTTTTGCTTTCTGGAGCTGGTCGGCCATCAAGTATGACAGTGCTTCAGTTTATGCATTATATTGGGTAGAAGTTTGGAACAAACAAGTAACAATATTTGTCAACTGTTACAGCTTAAAGCCATCTGATTTAAATCGCTTTATGAATTTTTTTTTTTTATAGGAGTCATAAGATTTTTAGAAAATGTTCTTGCTGTAGGATTCTGCCAGTATCAAATTTTGTTGAAGCTTTTATCATGATATATGGTATTTTCAGGATAAAAGACCTTAACCTGCAAAAAAGATCACATTAACCACTTATACTCTGCGACCGGGTCCGTGACGTCATCGACTTTCACTTTCAGATTTAAAGGGCTAGCGTTGCATCAGACCCCCGTAAGTGGTGTCGTTTGAAAGTGTAGAATCTATATTTTATGCACATATGCATCACTTTTGTTTTTATTCTACTGTATAAAAGTTATTTACACTTAAATACACAGTATTTTGGATACCCAAGCTGGGTATTTTACATTGGTTAATTTTCATATTTTTCATATGACACATGTACAAGTTATAGCTCAAATGAAAGCTCTTGCCGGTGCTCATACAGTTCTACCATTTTTTTACTGAATTATATTCACATGCCAAACAGTTGTTGAATGAATTGTGGTGTTTTCATGGCGCAGAAGTGTAAACAATACATTTATGATCACTAAGCAGCCCCAGATAGCACAGACAGCTGTCATCTCTTACCTTATGATGTGCGCTTCAGGGCCATTCTCCTCTGTTTTTGAGGTGATGTGCATAAGTAAACCTTTTATATGTCTGATGTGGTCCAAACACAGTGAATTATGTTTGATCAAACAAAATAGTGAAATATGAAAACAAGGATCGGTCTCTGTGGCTTGTACAGCACCTCTCATCAGTTGGAATGCAATAACTTTTGCATAGATTATGGTAGAGACCTTCCCCCCCATGATTACAGACGTGTGCAGGAACCACCAAAATTAATTACAGCACGCTAGACCACACAGAACCTAAAAGGTACACTTTCAAATTTGAGTTTATAAAAAAAAAATACAAAAAGCGCCTCTTTTTTTTAAGGTGTTTATTATAACACAGACAACATATACAGTTATTTTAAACACTTTCAATAGTGTTTTATGAAAATTCAAAGGGTTTTCTTTAAAATGATACCAAATCTTTGCATTTACATCTCTTTATGTGGATTTGGGAAGCTTTTAAATTTGGGTAGGCAAAATCCAGGCGGAAATCCCCAAATAGCAGCAGAGTTTAAGTGGTTAATGTCTATAATAACCTGAAAATATTTGATGTATTGCTTTTATTGTATATACATGTTCAGAGTGAGCAAATGTTACTTAAAATAAAGTCTCATTCGTAAACATTATTTAATGCATTAAAGTTAACAGTGAAAAATGGTCCTATTATAGTTGTCAAACTAAACAAATACAACAGATTTTCTGCGTTTAACAAAACCTTTTTTGGACATTAACAAAGAAATAAACTTTACCTAAGACTAATAAATGGCCGGGCTGCACGCTGGCGCAGTGGGTAGCACCATTACCTCACAGCAAGTCGGTCGCTGAGACAGTTGGTGTTTCTTTGTGGAGTTTGCATGTTCTCCCTGTTCACGTGAGTTTCCTCCGGGTGCTCCGCTTTCCCCCACAAGTCCAAAGACATGCAGTATAGGTGAATTGGGAAGGCTAAATTGTCCGTAGTGAATGTCTGTGGATGTTTCCCAGTGATGGGTTGCAGCTGGAAGGGCATCCGCTGCGTAAAACACATGCTGGATAAAGTTGCGATCACACTGGACTTTTCTCCCCATAGACTTCCATTCATACGCACGCAAGTTTCGCAGATCGCTGTGTTGGCAAGTTCAAGCTTGGTGAACTCTGACCTGCGAAATCACATCACTTGACTGTGTGAGACCACGCATAGTCTTGTTTAATCCCGCCCCTTTTCGCTGCTGCCGTACGACAGAATTTCGCAAGCTCATACTCTAGTGTGATCGCAGCTTTAGTTGGTGGTTCTTTCCGCTGTGGCAACCCCAGATTAAAAAAGGGACTAAGTTGAAAAGAAAATGAATGAATAATAAATGCCCTAGTTAATTTAACTAAACTAAATGATCCAGATTAACATGTGAATATGTTAATGTTTGAAAATCAATGGCCTATTTAGTCTTTAAACATTTAGTGCAGTGATGAACATCCACTGCAAATACAACAATCGGAGCATTCTTCAGTGGCAGAATCTCTAAATCTTTAAGCAAAGCTTTGGTTAATATCAGTACAGTGCACACCCATTATCACAATATATTGAATTATTGAAGGTCTAATTTTCTGATTTGGTGCTTAATCATCAATATTGTTAAAATATGGGCACTCTTTTACCATTAAAGGTTCTTATTGTTGAAAGGGTCCACTGCTTAATATTTTTGGAGTTTCTTTTTGGATGAGTAGTAAAATTAAAACAATGGCATTCATTTAAAATCTCTTTCAGGCCTCTATCGCTACTATTGATCAATTTAATGCATCCATGCTATAAACATTTTCAACCACCTAAAATCTTAACCCACAGTATTAAATAGTAATATATCACTATTTCGACAATTAGGTTTCAACTGATAAAAAGAAATGTCACGCTTTATTTTGATGGTCCGTTTGTTGAATTTAGGTTACATCGCAACTAATTCTCATTAGATTATAAGTAAACTATTAGGTAAGGGTTAGTGTAAGTTGTCATGTACTTGCAAAGTTTCTTATAGTCAGTTAAGTGTCTGTTGAAGAAGCAGTATTAGTAGATGTTAAGCAGACTGTCTACTAATACTCAAAAGGATCATCAAAATAAAGTGTTACTAAAAGAAATGCCTTAAAATGGCTAATCTGCAGATTTGAATAATATCTAATGTACTATGTGCCACTGAATGTTGGAGTAGTTCAACTGGCAACACAGATATATATTACTTGTTAAACTATATCAATATGTATTATAATTTATTGTCATAATTTAGTTTGAATCATTTTCCTCATGATGGTGTAAAACCTGTCTGAAATTATGCTTTTTCCATTATAGTTGGAGCCCTTTTGCAAAACAAATTTACTTCAGGAGGAGGCCTCTTTTCCCAGTTGCCAGAGGTTCCTTTTAGTGGAATTTCTCAGAAGTTGAACAAGTCACTGGCATCAGAAGCTGCATGGCCATCATTGGGTCCATCTTTTCTTCTCCCGCCCCCTCCTCCAGAACCTACTCTTCGCACTGTAGGGGCCCGCAGGCTTGGGGGACCTGTGCCTCTGGAGGCCTCTATAACTCTAGGCAAAGGTCGCCTGCTTATGGACGCGGCTCTGTTCAGAGGCCGGTCTTTCAGAGTGGGCTGGGGCCCCAACTGGACTCTTGTGCACAGTGGAGATCAACTCAGTGTCACACACCCCGTGAAGGAGCCGGCAGCAGAGAACCTGGGGTTTGGATTCTTACCCAAACCAACCAAAACCAAACCGTAAGTTTAGCTGCTCCATACTTTATGTACCTATTTTGAACCTGACTTCATCCATTTGTTTAGATTTTTTTATTTTGTTTGCAAACTAGTGCATATTAAATTAAATCATGCATTAGCTTAATATTCTAATCTATTCTGATATATGCTAATTTAATAATTGAATGCAAATGATCATTTCCATGTTTAAACACAACGTTTTAGAAATATTGTAATATACAAATATTCACTTTTTTCTTGATGTGTACAAATCAATCAACTTATAAAATGTAAAGGTAAAAAAATGTAAATGTATTATAGTATAATATTATAATATAAACTATTCATTTGCAGTGTTTTGCATTTAAGGTTTATTTTAGCCCAAAAATTTATATTACCTCATGTACTCTCCCTCATGAGTGTTTTTTTTTTTCAGCATTTATGAGATCCTTCCTTTTAAAACAAAAAGAAGATATTTTGAAGAATGCTGGTTGGTGGTACTCAGGGCTTTATATTAACACCCGCCAAATGCGGGTAGATTTCAGCTTTGGCAGGTTAGACAGACAATCCCACTAACCACTTTGACTGGTTGAAAGTTATTTTTAAATGATAGTTTTCTTAAAAGCAGGGTTCGACAGTATAAGGATGACCCAATATGCGTGCAAATGTGATCTTAAAATCGAGAAGTAAAATAATTGTGATCACGCGAGCAGAAGAAAGCACTAGAATACTGAATGAGAGGATGATCACTCACGCTTAACAGCTGATGTGATGTGTGCGACTTCTTAAAACGCGTGCGCGCGACTTCTTAAAACTCGTGCGCCCTCTCGAACCGTGAAGCAACCGTCTGGAACAGGTTCTGGAAACGCAATCGGTTTTCTTTCAAATAAACTAGACAAAAAGTGATGAACATGCATCCTCACAGTCCTGATGCTTTTAAGAGCTCAAACTGTTTATTTTGTATTCAGCACTGGTTGCTTTCACTTTGAACAGATTATTAAATGGCCTAAAGTTAACCGTGTGCATGTGATCATTCTTTCATTATCACACACGGTATGTTTCACCTGCTTTCATTTGCTTACAGTTTTATTTGCTTTTATTTTTGTTAAAATGGTTTAATTATTTTTTTTTTTTTTACAACATTTATTTAATGGGAGATGAACTCTCCATTTATGTGCAGTCAACTGTTGATCCGAGAGATCTTTATCCAGGACAGATTACTGTGCATATTTTTAATACATGACAATAGTTATTTTTTAAAAGTCAATAGCTTTTCTTTCTTTTTTAAGAAATGTTTTGTTAAATAAAAAGTATAGTATACAGCTATATTTTGCTTGTTTTGAAACATAAAAAATTTGTGGCTAAGAAATAATTATTGTTTCGTGTGGTTATAGAGATAGATTTGGAACATTGTTAATTTTGAGTTCTAAAAACTAATTGCAATATAACACTATGAAACCATGACCTATTTGCTCATACTCCTTGAGCAAGCTCATACTTAACACACAAAAAGTGAAATAAATGAGGGATGGAGACTTAACACAAAATTTAAATCAAGTAATTTTAGCATGTCAACATCAAATTAATGCATAAAAAATATATTTTCCCAACAACAAAATTGTGGCTAGTGAAAATGCAGAGTGGCTAGTAACATTGGAAAACTACTAGCCACAGTGGCCGGTGATTAAAAGAGTTAATGTAAACCCCTGGTGGTACTCATTGACTTCCATATCAGCACAAACAAAATCTATGGAAGTCAATGTGTACCAGCTACCAGCATTTTTCAAAGTATCGTCTGTTGTGTTCAACAGAAAAATTATACTTAAATAGGTTTTACACAAATTAAGGGTGAGTAAAGGATGACAGAATTGAACTTTTTTGTGTAAAATATTTCTTTTAACATGGCAGAAGTAATTTTTTTTAAATATTTTTGTATCACACCAGGATCACTGAAAGTCCCTTTAAAGTGCGTGTGGAGCAGGTGGTCGGTCTGGAGCCCAAGCAGTCATCAGAGAGCCTTTCTTTGTACCTCAGGCCACTGGAGATCGGTCTGAAGCACAGCACCATCAACACAGAGGAGCCCTGTCCCTTCATCCAGCCAGCAGGAGGAGTGGACGCTCTGCATGGCTACGCAGAGTGGATTGTAGAGGTCAACAAAGATATTGGAGGAAGTGATGGTATGCATTTTTTTATTGTTGTTTTTTTTGTGCTTTTCTTAGGACGACCGATAAATCGTAAGAAAAATGATTTTATGTGTGTGTGTGTGTGTGTGTGTGTTGCCATTTTAAAGCTTTAGGTGCAAAAGTTTGTTTTGAGAGGGAAATTGGTATTTTTATTATGACCATAGTTAAATGGCAATACTTCTCATTGTAAATGTTACAGAAGATTTTAGATTAATGTAAATGCTGTTCTATTAAACCTCATAAAAAGAATCATGTAAAAAATCTTGTTTGTTTTTCACCAAATCATCCATGTTAGAATGATTTTTCTGAAAGATTATGTGACCGTAAAGACTTAAAGGGCCATGAAACCCCCTCGTTTCAGCACACCTCTACTTTGGAAAAAGTCAGAAAAGTGGGCGTGTCCAGCTCTGTTTAGGGGGGAGTATCGGAGGAACTAAAGAGGGATGGTGTGGGAGTGTCTATTTGGGCACGTGCTGAGGAACTGCTCCAAGCGTGTATTTTTCATGCAATGTTTGATACCGCACGGCGAATGAGAGAAAAAACCCTCGGCATTTCCCGGAAACTTAGACGCACACGGCAGGTAGCGTCAGAAAGCCACGTGTGTTATTCAGGTCACAAAATGCGGTGAAAATCCTACACGAGGTTAAAGTTTGGTTGTGGTGCTACCATGTTTACACTCGGTGCAATAGTTAACTTAGTTCGATATGAACAAACTGAATAAACAGAGCACTGGTCGCTCACTTACCAAATCTGTAGAGACAGGACAATCACCAGCAACTAGAGCCGCGTCTTTATTAAGAGGAGACTACAACCGAATGCGGATCTCAGCGTTTGCAGATGAGAACAGCTCTCGGGTAAACATTGTTCCTCCTTAGACATGCAAGTTATTGTTGTCGAGCGTCGCGTACACTGTTAATCCACACGTGACTCCAGCTGCGCTCTCACAGAGAGAAAATGAAAACGAAACTTAACTATAAAAGCAACACTTCACGCTTGTTTTGCCAATACAACGTGGCGTCTCTGTCGTCTATACACTGTGACAGTAATGAATATTAATGAAGTTGCACAATAGAGCGCGCTGATTGGTTTGAACCAAGCTTTACTCATGCATTAATGCAGCACACTCTGAGACGTAATAAGACTCACTCTGGCACAAACGTCCAGTCTGCACGCTGGAATACACGCTATTATCTCATAGCCGTGACGCAGCTTCAAAAATTCGTTTCAAACCGTTAGTACGAATTTGCTTGAAATAACAAAAAAACAACCAATTTACACTTTTTAGTGAAATATAGGTGTCCTAATAGTGTTTTTAGCGGTGTGGGACACACATACGACTGTCAACAGCTCAAAAAACGTGTTTTGGTGTTTCGTGTCCCTTTAAGGATGCTTAAAATGCAGAGATTTTAAAATGTAAAATATACTAACTTGCATGTTTTATTTTGTGTTGTTATTCATTTTGTTATTGTCTTGACTATTAATGATATTAGTGTTGTAATCATTTATGTATGTGTTATACATGTGTGTATGTGTATGGACTTGTGTGTAGATTGATAGTTTAAACACCTGATTCTTATTTGACTATTTCTCACATCAGCTGGCCTGGCGCATTGGAAGCAAGTCTGGACTTTGTGTGCTGCTCTTTGGGGTCGACTGGGTGACCGTGACCTGGACACTGAGCAATATTCAGACTACCAGCAGCAGCTCGAGAGGCGGAGGAGCTTCTCACACTGGCTGTCTGATTGCGCGGCCAACTGCATCGAGGAGGAGGTGGGCCGAGCGCTTCAGCGCAGCCATGCAGAGGCCGTATTCAGTTACCTCACTGGCCACTGCATCAGCAAGGCCTGCAAATTGTCCCAGAAGAGTGGTGAGTGCACACTTTATTCGTTTCCAGTGATGCCTAATGCGTAGTAGTGATTAGTACAACAGTTTGTAATAAAGGTTGTTTGTGTTTCTGTGTGTGTATAGGGGACCATCGGCTTTCTCTGATGCTGTCCCAGGCTGTGGGCTCTCAGTTTTGTCGTGATCTGTTGGCTCTGCAGCTCACAGACTGGAACAGGATGCAGACAGACTCCTTCATCGAGGAGGAGAGGCTACGAATATTTGCTTTGCTTGCAGGCAAACCAGTAAGTACATCAAATACCAGATGATGTAGATGTATGTTTTAGATGTAATGTGTTTGTTGACTATTGTTATGCATTTTTTTGTATATATTTTTGTTTTTAATGAAGGTGTGGCAGTCTACAGACTGTTGTATAAACGTGTGCTCAGAGCTGGACTGGAAGCGGTGTGTTGCTGTTCATCTGTGGTACATGCTGCCTCCCACTGCCTCTGTAGCTGATGCTCTCACCAAATACGAAACAGCGTTTCAGGTGAGTTTCTGTTATAGCAGGTTTGAACTTTTTAGGTATTTAATTACATCACTGATGTGGGTGAAATGCATCACATATTTACTTTTGCAAATCAAAAGCCAGAACAAATGCATCAACAATGTCGGAAAACTTTACAGACTTTACATAAGTCTGCCAGCTAAATGTGACCCAATTCCGATTTTTTTTTGCTTGTATGTGACACAGATTGGATCTGTTCTATGACCGTGTAAACACGAAAAAAAACGCATGCATTCGGATATTCAGAGATCGGTTTCAGGCCTCCTTCATTCATTCATTTTCTTGTCGGCTTACTCCCTTTATTAATCCGGGGTCGCCACAGCGGAATGAACCGCCAACTTTATCCAGCAAGTTTTTATGCAGCGGATGACCTTCCAGCCGCAACCCATCTCTGGGAAACATCCACACACACACGTTCACACACACACACTCATCCACTACGGACAATTTAGCCTACCCATTTCACCTGTACCGCATGTCTTTGGACTGTGGGGGAAACCAGAGCTCCCGGAGAAAACCCATGCGAATGCAGGAAGAACATGCAAACTCCACACAGAAACGCCAACTGAGCCGAGGTTCGAACCAGCGACCTTCTTGCTGTGAGGCGACAGCACTACCTAATGCGCCACTGCCTCGCCCGGCCTCCTTCATATGTGGAAATAAATCAGATATAGATCGGATATGTGACAATGTGACTGACCAGACCTGAGATCTCTCTGATACCCACAAATTCCTCTGAATGGTGAAGGACATCATAAAGCATATAAACCATAAGCCCAAGCTACAGTGACGGCCCTTTCCCACCTCCTTCGCCTTAAAATTTTTTTAAAGTTGGGCGAACTTCGTGTTGTAACTTTTGCTTTTTGTCACTATTAATACACATAGAAAAACTTTATTCTGTCCAACACCAGTGCGCACACAAAGGCTACATCAACTACACACACGCATCAGGGCCATACCATTACATAAACTATGTGGGGTAAATCTGGACTAAACCATTCACTGCTTATATTACACTTCGCATATTTCGCAGAGCTAAAAACAAGACAATTTCTTCCATCTTGGCTTGTGTGGCACAGATGCTAGAACCTGCCTTTATGCATGCGCTACATCGTAAATTGTATGGCAAGTGTAAACGCATGAATTGGATATGGGTCACAATTAAAACAACGTGTAAACAGACAGGCAAACAAATCAGATATAGGCTACAAATCGGAATTGGGCATCATCAAGACCTGACATTGTAAAAATGTCATGAGCTCCTTAAAAGACAACATCTTGGGGCTTTTTGACCCAGTGGCATAATTTTGGTTTTGAAAAAGGTTGCTGGCACAGACATAATAAAAGCTGTGCAATATATAAAAAATTGATCTTTTTTAGTAGTATACGCAATATTCATATCAAAGTTGAGTTTGCTATATCTGTGAAATGAGAGAGAATTGATCACAAATGTGCAACAGTGATGCTCTTTGAGCAGAACAGTGATATAATTATATAATGTGCCTGTTCATGATTATACTAGATTTCTCATTGTTTATAGAGCGTAAGATCTGGCTGGGCCTAAATAAGTCCATTGCATGTATGAATAAAATTATAATAAATGAGGAAAACCATGGTTTTTCTTTATTGCGTCCTTTTTGGAATTTTTTTTTCAACTTCTAAAAAAGTACTTAACTGCCCCTCTACAATCAGAATAAAATAAAACTTTGACTGACGATTTACATTTAAGGTGTGTGAAACCAGTTGAACATCCTTCAAGAGCCACACATCCACACTTTGCTCTGTGGCTCATCATAAACCTGCCTTTTCTGTCTGAGGGCTGTTATGCACACTCGTGCATAAAATGCATGAAGCAGAAATGGAAAGCACTGGTTTATCCGTGCAGCACCTCTAAGTTACAAAAAATACCCCCAACTAAGGCCGTACTCGCACTATGTACCGTTGCCTCGAACCAGGCCAAAGCACGCTTGTCCCCCCTCCCCCGACGGCCCGCACTTACACTACAATCGGGCCTGGGCACGCTTACATCATCAATGCTGCGCTGTTCAGTAAGCGCTCTCGCTCAGCACAGTTGACATTTTTCTAGTTATATCGTTTAAGTCGTTTGATATGCAGTGACATGCAGTCAAATATTTCGCCAAACAGTCCTTAGGGATGCGGTGACAGTCAGATATTTTGCCGAACGGATCCGCCACTTTTGGCGCTCACAAACAATCACAAAGTCCTCTTGCTGCAGGAATGAGGACGTTTGCTGAAGGTGCGCAGCTGTTGTGCGGTGAGGGTTTTGGGTATTTAATAAACTAGGACAGTTTGTGTTCATTGAACAGTAAGATTGATTAATAAATCCATATGAAACTGTCCCTTAAAAGTCACGTCTTGCTTTCAGTTTCGGGCTTTAGCGCGTTTTGCACTCACACTACAAGCAAACCGCGCCAAAGCCCAAGTGAACTGCGCTCAGGAGATCCGGGAAACGGGCCTGGGCACAGTTCGGATAGCTTAGTGTGAGTAGGCCCTAATTAGATACGCAAGTAATGAAAAGTCTCCGTAATAATTTTATTCGAGTTTTATTTATGCATTTTTTTATTCAGTGTTTTTAAAAAATACATTTAAAAGTTTAAAATAATAGATTTCAGATGGAATGATTAGGCTTTTTTAACTTTTAAAATTCATTTTTGTTGTTGATAAATGGAATGTTTTCCTAAATAAAATAATTAGTTTCTTTCAGTCACTGAAATTAAGGGCTTTTAGAGACTAAAAGAGGAAAAAAATATCAAATTGGATTATTGTTTTTGAAGAAATTGGTCTACTTGTAATAGAATTATGTACCATTACAGCATGCCAGAGCAGATTAAATGCGCCAAAGCTCATTTTCAGAACTTTCTTGAGAGATTCTTCTGATTTTTATCAAATGTGTAATTATCTTGAAAATAAATTATAAATACATAAATGCCATATTAACTGAACTTTTTTTCTAGGGTTCAGAGGAAGTGAAAAGGTATGCTGGCCCTCCTTTACCTCCGTATATAGACGAACTGGAGTTGTTGGGTTTGGATGAAGACATGGATGAGATCGATTCCAAAAAGCCACTCTACGACATCTGCTTCCACCTGCTCAAACTTTACAGCGACAGGTTTGTAACTGTTGATTCCTTTTTTTGTTCACCATATGTTTGCATCAACATGACTGTAATTACATGACTGTAATTGTGTCCTCTTGACCCTGTTCCCCTCAGGCACTACAGCCTTCAACAGCTGCTTGATCCCAGCACAGTGACCGCCGATCATCTGGACTATCGGCTGAGCTGGCACCTCTGGAGTGTGCTGCAGGCTCTCAACTACAACCACCTGGCCACCTCATGCCAGGGCCTGCTGCATGCCAGCTATGCTGCTCAGCTAGAGAGTGCGGGATTATGGGAAATGGCCATCTTTGTGTTGCTGCACATCACAGACTCTGGGTAAGTGTGTTCTTATCAGAGTACTCAGTTAGTTGGGTTTTATATCATGGTGTATTATGTAAATTTATATGTGGGGTTGGGGTTTTTTTTGTGACCGTTTTTGCAGACGTAGAGAGAGTGCAGTAAGGGAAATGCTTAGCTTACATTGCTCCCTCGAGGAGACGGAAGAGTCGATGGAGAAGGAGCAGTTTCTTACAGAAAAGCTGCTGATCCCCATCCAGTGGATCCATCAAGCCAAGGCCATCCGTGCCTGCAGAGAGGGAGATAAACATAGAGAAGCCTTGCACCTTTACAAGGCTGGCCACTGGAACCACTGCCATCGACTGGTCATCCAGCACCTCGCCTCAGGTTTGAATGAGCTAATAACACGCATGCTTTTAATTTCTCCAAAATGTATGTCAACAACATTTTAATTTTGGCTATATGGTCACAATGCACTTTTTATATCACATTGAATTCAGTTTGCATGCATATGAATGTGCAAGATGTGAAGATGGTTCGTTGGTTTCGAACATAATAATAGAATATTATAGACCTTTTTCATTGCTGCTGCATGGAGGGCGCCATAGCGACCAGCGTCTTCAGGTAGAATGCTAAAAACTTCTGTTTACAGCGTGTACAACTGGTAATTTGCGCTCCGAAAATGGGTTTCAATTACGTTTTTAATGGATAACAGAGTGTTTTTGTGACACACAACTTAGTAATGCCGTTATAAACAGTCACGTGGTTCAAGCGCGTCAGAAATACGAGAAAAACGTTCTCCTTGTTCACGTGTCTGCCGTCAGAAATACAGTGTGTGTGTGTGTGCGTTCCCGGCCTGTCAGCTGTTAGCTCAGCGGCTTTTTAACACATACACACACACGCACACACACAGAGAGAGAGAGAGCAAACCAGAGTACTAGGGGTGTCACGATTTCTATTTTTAATCTAAATCGATCGAAATTTATGCTCAATTTCAATTATCGAATCAAAAAATAGAATCGTCAATGCTGCCACGCCCCCATGTCACGTCAGCTTGGCTTGCCAAGCGGGAAAATAACAGGCTTGTTGAAGTGCTTGTTAAACTGCAGATACAGGAGACCCGTCGACAGAACTTAAACCCTCTTCCCTTTCAATGAAGTCGCTGGTGTGTAAGCATTTTGGATTTCCAGTGAGTTATGTTGACAACGTTCGTGTTGTCGACAAAAAAAACACAGTTCTGCAAGCTCTGCTATGTACGTATTACGTACTGTTAGTCCGATAGACAACACCGGCATAGCGATCCTCCGCCCGCCCCCGTTGCAAATCCGCTTGCGAAAATTACACATTCAGGCTCTGTTTACACTGTCTTTGTCTTTAAATGGCATTTTAGAACGACAACGATTTGACATCCACAGTGGCGTGTGGCATTTCTGAGCAGCCCTCCTTCCTCTCTACCTCTGAAAATGCACATCACGTGACCACAAAGACACAGACGCACACACACAGCCATGCGCTCGAGACAGCGGGTTCAGGCAGTCAGAGGACGGCTTCAATCTTTCACTCACTTGTACTTAGTCATTTTAGCGAACACCTCAGATACTGTTGGCTGGTTCCTGTTGGTTGTGCGTCTTTTTTACCGACGCCATTATAACGACACAGATCACTGCCTATTCACGAGTCCCGCAGAAAAAGTGATTGACAGGTGGTAATTATGTGTGTAACTTACCTTTATTCATTTACTGTATGATTTGTTTATGGGTAAAACAAAGACCATGCAGGTCAGGTAGTTTAAACAGTAGGCTACAAATAATTAATTGGTCATTAATTAATTAGTTATTCATAATCGAAAATCGAACCGTGCCTTTAGAATTGAAAATGTAATCGAATCGAGGATTTGGAGGACCGTGACACCCTTACAGAGTACTGGCATGAAACTTAACAGGTATAAAAGTCGTGCAATTTACAAAAATTACCAATAAAAGTCTGTTATTGATACTCTGCTGGCTGATTTGCTGTTCATTCTAATCGCGAGCCGTTTGTTATTTCGTGTGTTGTTTTTACCACGGTTTGTTTTTCTGTCATTTCGAAATGACACTTGCTTATATTTTCACTTTGTCACAGTTATTAAATCAGTGTGTCAGTGGCACAGTACTGGCTGCCTCACAATGCCTCACAGCAGCTGTTTTCCATCCTATTAGATTGCATTTCTTTAAATGATCAGTCCAGGAGATGGTGCTAATGGACAACAGTATTAGTTTAACGAGGATAAAAGCAGGTAAAATAGATTAAAACTATTGTTTCAAAGCTGTCCAAATGTGACTATTTACACGCATCAGCTGCCGACCGGAGGTTCTTCACATTCTTCTTGCGCATACACGCAAAGCATAATGGGTAATTTTGCGTTCCAAGAAAAAGGTCTACAATATTGAAAGTTTCCAACAATCTCAGCTTTCACATGCAGGGTGTAAACACTTAATTCAGTTTTTGTTCTGCACTGTGCATTTGTCTTAAGGGCTGTTTATGCAGTGTTTTCAACCAAAATTATGAAACTATATACATTATGCTTGTTTGTTTACAAAAAAATGTTGTTTTTGAGATGGAAAAACTGAAAAGCACTTTAAATCAGACGTTTTTGAAAGCGCTGTCAATGTTGTGTCCATGTAAGAACCCAAAATGTCTTTGAAAATCATCATACAAGTCTGTAGTATGAATTTAGGGGAGTGTAGATTAAAGTAAAGCACAAACACGCACTACACGTGTATTTCCTGACACTTCGCCACCAAAGTGTGGATTACTTCAATACAAGCAAAAGCTGAGACCCTTCTTACACACACAGAAAATCATACATATACGCTGGTACCAAGCCACCACTCTCCCCTACAGGTACTGTTTAATAACAAGGTGATGGTGCCAAATATTTTGCTAGCATACATGATTGAGCATTTTTGACCATTTGTGTAACACAGATTCTTTTTCAAATGTAGTCCTGTAGACTGGAATCTTTTTCAAAACACAAGGGAAAAACGTTTTTGTTCTTGGCTGCATTCTTGTCTTGTAAATGTAGTCTAACTGTGCGTTCACACCGAAAGCGGTGAGAGCGTCCAAGGTCGCTCTGGCCACTCTGGCGACAACGCTGTCTGCCTTCAGCTCCGGTGGTGAGAGCGTCAAAATTCGTTACATTGCAGGGTTCAACGCTAAAGATTTTTTCTACTGGTCTGATCGGGCCAGTGGTTCAGATTTTTACTTGCCCTGCCAAAATTTTCACTGGTCCCACCAAAAAAAGAAAGGGAAGTTAATAGCTATTTTTTAGATACATATTTTAAATAACGTGTCAAAAATAAAGCCTGTCAATCTAGAATTTTAATACGTAAATAAAAATGTTATGCAAACAAAAAGAGCAGTATGGAAAATGTGGAGGTATTTTATTGCGGTTTGAAATTATTTAACAAAGGGTGGCTGACTTGTCAAACTGACGGTAATCTGTGCAACTGTGTTTTTTTTTTGTTGTTGCGTTGTTCACATGTAAATTTCTGCTTCCAAGATGTTAGAAACAGATATTTTCTTTTAGCCTTAGAATTTGATGGTGCCACCATGTTGCCATTTCTTCGCTGTACTGGTTGTTACCAGGTTACGGAAAAAAATAGAATTCTCAATCAGAAAAGAGGAACCGGAAAGCAATATGGTGTTTACGACATCACAGAGAAGGTAGTGTTTAAAGACTTAAAAGCACAAACTTAAAATGCACGCAATTGATAAATAGTCACAGACAAATTAAATGTTAGTGACAAGGCAGCACTGTCCCAGTCGGGCCAGTAATGATCCGGTCTACTGTCCCAATTGTCTGTCACGCTGGCCTTGGGCCACCGGGCAGTCCTTATTGTTGAGCCCTGCATTGATCTCGTATTTAAAGGAGCTGTTGCAGCATATCAGTAACATTCCTTCATAAAACATGCTTTCTAGTGTGAAAATGTTGCACGCTTCTTATCAAATTCAGTTAACAATGGAAGATCAAGTTGCACGTGGTGTGACTTTGCTCCACTTAATTATCCAATGTGTCCATGTGTCTGAAATAATTGTGAAGCTGCAATACTGTTTCTTACTATCGCATGAGATTTCTGCCTTTTTAAATATATATAGCATTAATGCACATCAGTAACGTATCAGTTAATATAAATTCCTCTAAGAAAATGTTGTAAATAATTGAAAATCCGGCGACTGCAATTATCAAACACTTGAGAACAAGTGCCGCTTTCGGTGTGAACATACTGTTAGTGCGCACAAATGATTAAATGAGTCTTCTTTTCTATTGCACTGCCAAATACACACACTGATTTCTTTGCAAACCCATACGTTTTCATATTTAATTATTAATTTATTATTATTTATTTTAGCTATGTTCCACACTAAAGACAAACATGAAAATGAACTGTAAACCTTTCTTTCAGTTTAATGTTTTGCCATTTTTTAAAATAATGTGGACATAATAAAAGTCCTAAATCTGCAACGGTTTGTATTGTTTGAATCTTAAAACTGGTTGTTTCTATGTTAAGAGGTTTGACTTGTGTGTACATTTTAAAAGTCATTTGAAATAGAATTTATGACTAAGCTGGAACTTAGAAGGAATGTATAAATTTTTCTGCATGAATCCATCTTTAAACATTAATAGCATGTGTGGGATGAATCTTACCTAACCTTGAGTGTTTTTCCTCCATCAGACTGCATCATTAACGATAATCATAAGTACCTCCTGGATTTCCTAGAGGGTTTGGCAGTGCCAGAGCGCAGTGTTCAGATTCAGGGCTGGGATACGTCTGGAAGGGTCTTCCTTGATTACATCCATGTTATTCAAACGCTGCAAGACATCCAGCAGGTATCCTGTGGCACTGAAAATATTCATCTTAATTGGAACTGGAATATTTAAAACAAAAGTCCTAACATAATTGCTTTTTGCTTCTTTCTATAGATGGAAAGCCCAGGTTATGAGCTGGAGCGACTGCATACAGAGGTGACATCTCTCTGCAATAGAATAGTGCTTCTCCCCTGTTCCAAAGCTAAAGACAAACTTGCCCAATCAGGTATCAATATTTTTAACTGCACTTTGAGAATTTAAGTGTTAACTGATGCATTTTTGGAGTATGATGCGCACACTTTTACTTCAATGTTGTCACATCATTGATCAGCTTTTGAAAATTATACATTGATCATCTGTGTAAACTACAAAATTGTTTATTTATTTATTTTTGAGAGAGAAGGTGACCTCATGTACATGTGTATTATGCATTAAGGCAAGTGTGAGTACCTGCTAACGAAAACAACCAGTGGCATACTACAAGTCTAATTGCAGAGGCTTAGTGTTTCTTTATAAGGTGGCACCTATACTGGCCTGAAATGCTTAATAAAGGGGTTATAGTTGTTTTGGTTATTAAGTTTTATATACTTTATTGACATGCAAATATTCATTTAGTGTGTGAATAAGTCAATATCAGTTATTTATTTCTCTTGGTCAATGTGTGTTTTGTATTATTTGGCGTTTGTAGTCTAGGGCTGGTTGATTGTTGAAATGACATCGTAAACATGTCGGTTTATACCTGTAATTGTCATGCACATCTTGTCAGGAAAGCACTGTTGTGTTTTCAGTAGTATATCTCTAAAAGACAGAGGTTTTTAGTGCCAAAACTCTAAACATGATAGACCTCAGGAAATCCCCTTAGAGGTTGCATTGAAAACAGAAGTGCTTTCATTTATTCAGCATGACTAATTATCATACGACTACAGAATAATCTGCACATAAGGATTTATTTCAAACACTGAAGTTATGAGTAAAAACAAGTAATTGATTTTATTGATTATCTCAATTTGACCAATCAAATTGGGCTTTACTATCTTTATCCCCACCTCTCCTGTATATGATGTTCTGCTATTGGCTAGAGGGGCCCAAAGGTGAACCCAGAGCTGAAAATGAATACTTGCAGTGGGAGTCGAGATGAGAGGAAAGGGACAACAGCCAATCAGAGTCATAACATCTGCTCAGAATATCGTTGGCACCTTGACAGTGTATTAGTCTGAACTAGAATTAATTAGATCTGTAAGAACGTCTTTCACCTAGTTGTTGTGCTCTTCAGTGTTTGGACTCTCAGTAGTGATTTTAAAGCACACTGAACTGAGCTAAACTGAACTGAACTTAAACACTAAAAACTGAACTACTTTGTTCCAGTTACTATGACCATTTATGTGAAGCTGCTTTGACACAATCTACATTGTAAAAGCGCTATACAAATAAAGCTAAATTGGATTGAATTATTTTAATATCATAAAGTAAATAAATGATTTAAAATCCTAGCTTATAAAAATATTAATCTTCCAGGGAAATCACAATACTCTACAATATAATTTATCTCCTATTTTTACAGTATGTTGCACCATATTGCCTGATTGGACGGTTTTCCGCCCATTTGAAAGTAAAACATACTCTAATAGTAATCTACACAACTATAAGTGCAGTGTGTGGGTGAGAGGGGGACAGTGTTTCGATGCGATCCGGTTATGTTGTGGTTCTGTGATTGCTGGTGTTGTTTGCTGTATGGTTAACAATTATGACATTTAAAGTAATTTGGTAAATTAATAAAGTTTAAATAAAATATTAATCTAATATTTTATGCGCTTTTATTTCTGCATTTGTCTGGGTTTTGGACCGCTTTTGGGATGGAAAAAGGCCGCTATATCTGGCAACATTGATCGTGTAGCCCTATCCGCTTGTTAAGTCTTGACATGTCAGTGACGTGTAGAATACTGTTTCCAGGTCCAAGCTGCCACTCATTTTAAGTGAGGAAATATTAGTTTCAGATCACTTTTTAGTCTAATCACACATTAAAGTGATTTTCATATAAATTCATAGCGTACACAACATCCTCTGGGCTTACTGCATCACAAATATCAAAATTGCAACAATTTATTAAAAATTAATTACTTTCTGGTCATCTGATACTTGGTGTGTGTGTGTCTGTGTGTGTCTGTCTGTCTGTCAAGATTTTCGAAAGTATTACATCTCTTTCTAAACATATTATTATTATTATTATTATTATATTTTATTAGATTATTTAGATTAGATTATATTTTAAATATTATTTATTTAGACCATTTGATGGGTCTCATACAGTTTAATATGGCGCTTGGACCCGGAAGCCACTTCGCGTGACGTCAAGCTTAACAAGTGGATTGTGTGGTAAATGCTGCTCTATCCGAAAGCACACGCTGGAACTTTATTGGCTGCTTTACTGACAAAATGCAAGGTCCAGTCTAAAATATTTTTTGGTCCAAAAACATATGAACAGACAGAAAATATTCCAGAATGTTCAAGAAACGATTTTGAAAAAAGTGCCATTTTCTAGTTATTACAAACGATACCTTATGAAGTTTGTTTTTATTTCTTTTGAAATACATGTTATGATGTTTTATACTTCCAAAATAAATTTTGTCTACATCCACCATTCCCTGAGCAAGTTATAGCAATTTATTTCAATGTTATTCCAAGGCGTTTTTCAATGGGAACCGACAATGTATTTGCCCAAAAGTTCTGGGAATGAACTAAACAGAAATTTGTTTTTACAAAATAACAGAACACTGAAGCAAATTTGACTTTTTCCAAATAATATATTTTTAGTTACCATAAACAACACCACTTACAATGAACAAATAAAAAATAAGAAAATAATAAATAATGCGTCAAAGTCCAAATAAAGATGGTGCAAATCCTCAGTAAAAAAATAGATATAAATATTTACTATACTATAAATAGTTACATAACGAAACTAGATTCAATATGGACCATCCTTAGGTTTTATGTGCCAGCATGGATATGGTTGTCTGTGTATTTGGATATGGTTGTCTGAAATGCAGACAAACAGCCCCACCTTCATTTGCGTCCTTTGAAAACGGCAAGAGCAGCACTTCGTCTTTGCTGTGTCACTGTTTTGTCATGTTTTTGTGCTGTTGTGCATGCAAAATTATTTAGTATGAGAATTATTTCATGCAAAACTTTTTTTTTTTTTTGCGTTTTATTTAGCTGTGCGTAAATGTACAGCCTATCTCTCATTCCGTGTTGTTCAAAAAGCTGATTGTTTGTCCACTAAGCGAAACCTATGCTTATTGGTTGAGAGAGAGCGAGTTTGAACCAATCTGGGCATTGAGGAGGGACAATGCATCAATGTATCATGTCTGGTTTGTCCGGAGAGACAAGTGACGAGCGTTCCTTTGTCAAAATTTGATGACGTAACCACACTGATTCCAGAGCCTCTGAAAGTCCGTGAATGCAATGTGTTACATCGCTTAATCGTTACATCGTTACATCTTTGTCAAATCAGCGTTGTCAAATTTTGATGACGTAACCGCACTGATTCCGGAGCCTCTGAAAGTCCGCGAATATTATGTGACACAGCAATGGAAAGCTGAGATTTTCTTCTTTATGCCAATCTTTGGATTTTATGGATCGGATCAGCGGATCAAAAGTTATTAAACATTTAAGAGCAATACTTATTTTTAGCTGCGGACTGCTGTCTCTGTCTTTAAGGGTTAAATGACTGAAATAATGCACTTGTGATGTATTCAAGACCTGAAAAATTCATACACCTTTTAGAAAGTTTGTCAAACTATCAGAAACAAGCATAGAACAACTCCTCCAGTGTAAAATGTTGCGGCAAAGTTAATTTATACAAATTTCATAAATGAATGGCACCAGTGATACAATTTCTCAATGCTTTAAACCTTGGCGTAAGAATATGAATCTACACTATTTTAAACCATTTTTAACCAATGGTCTATTTTGCCTTCTACTTTTAGAGATGGCCAAACGTGTGGCTAACATCCTCCGGGTGGTCCTGAGTCTCCAGCAGGGTGGTGAAGGCACCCCAGACTCCCAATACATCCCTCTTTGTCAGCTTGCTTCACACATTGGACGTCTGCCCATGCCTGAGGACTATGCTTTGGAGGAGCTGCGCAGCCTTACTAACTCATACATGCAAGAGTATGTGATCAGTCACTGAATAGCAAGATAAGAGTTTCTCAATCAGTTGCGCTGAAGTAACACGAGTCTTGAGTGAGTCGACCTTGCGCCCTCCTGTTATATATGGCTGTTTAAGGCCGTGGTTGAACTTTTGAGGCATATTTAGGCACAAAACTTGTGAATAAAGCATTCCCTTGTGTGTTTTTTTTTTTTCCTCCAAATTTTGTTTTGTAGTCATAGACATGATCTGTATGAGTGTCTTTAATAATTAAAGTATCTTTTTGAATACACCTGTTCATTTAGTCTACCTGGGGACATTGAGAACTTTACATTTTTGTCTGCTATGTTACAAAGTTCAATTGTGAAGTATCAATTTGGTCTGTTCAACTTGGTCTATGTAACTTGTGTTCCGACCCTACTTTGTACTCCGGCCACAAAACATTTCATATAGACATAACAAATGGGAATGGGTTCCTTTGACCAGTCCTGTCACTCATAGTGTTTTAAATCTTAAAGTAAGCGTGTGTACATCTTTTGTAAGTACAGTATTTTTATTGTTCCCATGGACTGCCTCGGTCTATAAGTTGCTAGCGTGCTTCTGTGGGTGTAATGATAAAGATTACTCAACCTGGCTTGTTAGAAGGTTTGATCTTTTTTTTTTTTTTGAGGAGATTAAGCGTTTATTTAAAATGACACCAAAAATATATGACAACGTTAAAATGTAAACGTGTGGGCGTATCTCTATTTTTGTAGGGTTTTCTGGAAAACCTTATTGCAAAAGGTTTGCCCAGTGCAAAACTAAATAAATTTAGTGCTATTGGTCAAAGACATTGACAGAAATCTATTTTGAGCTTTCTAAAGTGTTAAATATGAGACTGGCAATTCTTATAAAACTTTAATCAAAGTTAACCTGACAGCTCTTCTGAGTAGGATTGGGTTTCGCTGATGTAATTACATTACAGCATTGTGTGAAGCCTTCATCCTCTCAGGTTTTTTTTTTTTTTTTTTTTTGGTAAGTGCTACAAATGCTTTGGCCATTAGTAACGTGCTTGTTTCTTGTAATGTTTATTTTCTGAAAACATTGTAAACATTAAACTTGGTTTATGACAGATTGTGCTTCAGATGTTTAAGGTTTTGCTCTATGAATGGATGCGTGTTTGTGGCTGTCTGATTATTGCTGTGCATGAATGTGCTCAATTCTTTTATAAACCATGAATAAAGTACTTTAATTTCTAAGAAGTCTCAGTGTATATTGTAAAATGCTTTCAATTTTTTTTCTTTTTTTTTTTATAGATGCAGAATGAAGGAATTACCAGTCTTATCCTTTAATTTAACTATTGCATTTTTCTGGGTTCATACGGTCATGGAAAACCTGGGAAAGTCATGGAATTTTGACATGGCATTTTCCAGGCCTGGAAAAGTTTTTGAAAAACAGAAGTTTTGGAAATTAGTTTATCAAATATCTGTGTACTTAAATTAGGGCTGCGCGATATTAGAGAAATCTGACATTACCATGTTTTGTATTTCTATAATGCATATTGCGATGTGAATTCAATATCACCAGGAGACTTAACAGGGTTTATTTGGATTGATTGGGGGATTTTGTAGAGGATCTCGAATCTCGAACAAAATATAACATTACAAGCATAGAGAAATAAAATATAAATAAATATAAAAAATAAATAAAAGATAAAAATGAATTTTAGTTTTCAGGTATTCACTGTTCGGGTACAGATAGTGAATAACCAACACTGCATAGTCTTCATTGTAGATTATTTAATCTTTATTAAAGTTACAAAGAAATTTCTTGTGGCCCGATGTTTTAAACTGAAATATTGAAGTGTTCACACAGTCACAGGCCTTAAAGGGACAGTTTACTCAAAGATTAAAATGTACTCACTATTTACTCACACTTCACTTGTTTCAATACTATATAGGAGGTAATAAATTAGATTCTTTTTCTGTCCATTTTAAAAAAGAAAACTCGTAAATGTTTGAAACATTTTTGAAGGGTGTAATGCGTTGGGTATATGTTATTTTTGGGTGAACTTTCTCTTTAAAAATGCATACAGATGATACACTTTTATCCATTATATTAAACTATCCTAACATTGCATATTCTGCGATGCGACTATTGCAGATGCACAGATTGCGATATCGATGCTGAAACCATATATTGTGCAGCCCTGACTTGGATATAGGTTAGCTGTCTTGTCTAAGCTTTATCAAAATCAACTTTACATAGATATAAAAATTTAAACAAAATAGATTGTTGCATGTTCTATGATATGCTGTAATACATTTGAACGTTATTGTTTTTTTTTTATTATTATCCATGTATATGTAGACATTATATAAAACATTACATCATGAAAATGTACTTGAAAGTTCTGAAAAAGTCATGGAAAACTCATGGAATTTAAGTAGTAAAGATGTAATGTCTGTTTTTCTCATATTTTAATAAAAAAAAATTTAAAAGAAAGAAGATTAATACACTGCTGAGCTATTACATAATTCTAATTCAATCGAAATGTCAAAATATCAGGTAGAAAGAAAAAAATAATCCTTAAATAAGAAATTTAATTGCCAGAAATGGAACAATACACTTTATATATATATATATATATATATATATATATATATATATATATATATATATATATATATATATATATATATAAAGCTGTCTTAATTTTATGTATGTGCATAGCCATATGGAAGAGACAATGTTGAAAATTTAAATGTAATTTTATAAATTTTCCAGTATTTGGTGTAAAAACTACTTTAAATTAGCTAACGCTTATTTGCATAACTCGTTTATATTTCTGGGTAACGTTATTTCGACACATTTTGTTTGACACGTTCACTTACCATTGTAATATTTAATATTTTACGACCTGTCAACACTCTTGTCTGCAGTACTAAACACACTTAACGGTCGTACTAGGACTTTGCCTCGAGCTGAAGTTTGAGTATCAATTCTCTCTGTATTAGTTTCTCGTCTACGTCACCATCACTACTGTAGCACACTTCTCTCTCCTCGTGAGTTACGCATGGATGTTACACAGCCCGGTTACAGGACGACACTGAACTATGGGAATACCTGAGAAATGCTGCATCTGCATTCAAGCGAGCATAGACGAGATTTTATTCCTCATTGGCGCCACAAAATGAATCCACGTGTAATTTTGGCTTCTTTCTATTTGATTGCCACCGTTGGTTTTATTCCAGGTAAGAACGAGCACATCTTAAATATTATTTTGTGTGGGTGTCATTCGTCGATTATATCCAAGTTTAAACAATACAACTTGGAGTTAAACAACATTTTATACTTAAATGCATTGACTATATGTTTTACTTTTACTTTTTTTTTTTTTTTTGACGATATTTTGTCCCAGCGTTTGATTTTGCTGTTGATAAAATATGAAATTGGATTTTTTTAAATCACCCCTTACGCAAATAAACTGTGATAAAGACAGTAGATGCTGAATTAAAAGTGTATTTACCGCAAACCACAAATTTTTTTTCCCTTCAAAAGATTTACACAACTTGTGTACACAACCAGTTCTAAGTAGGCTATTCTGTAAGTCCCATTGGATGTGCGTTTTTCAATTAATATTAATAAGTAATGGAACTTCTGTGAAATAATAATGATAAATAATAATAATCATTAAATAAATCAGCCATTGTATCCAAACAAAATAAATATGCAATAAATGAAAGATGAACTAATTAATTAAAATAACCTAATAAGTACATCTTATAAGTAATTAATATAATTAATATATAACAAGTTGATGTTTGTGTAAATAAATGATTATATACAGTACTATGAGAACAGTTTGAAAATATAGCTTAATAATTTTCGCAATAACATTTAAACCCATTTATAATAGCATTTTATACAGAATAAATTGGATATTTACAAAAGAAACTATACAGATGCCATATACATTTTAGGATGGGGTCCCTCACAAGTAGTCAATCATATTTGTTGTCAGTGAATGCTGCTTTACTGTATGATATGAATATAATTTTTGGAGGATTTGTAATTATCCAATCATAGGAAATGTAAAATGCTAACTTTTAATTGCCTTATCTGAAAATAATATCAATTTATATTCAATTTATTATTATTTTAAGACTGTATGGCAGGTTTCCAGTTACAGTACTTTGAAAGTCCATCAAAGCATTTCTGCATTTTGTCTAAATCTTTATCACAAGTATTTTGATCACAAGAATCTGATACTTTCTGCACACTCGCCCATGGTGCAGGACTGCAGCGCTGCCAGCTGGATCACACACATCCTTTTCACACCACGGCCATTTTAGTCTTTCATTAGAGCGCTATTTTGTCTGGCACTTGGAGTGAATTGATTCGGGGGTGAAAGCGCTGACCACACTCATCCTCAGGGTTACAGGAGAGAGTAATTGAGGAAACACGCTTTGTTCACTAGTTCAGCTCCTACACTTGGTGTGGCAGTAGTTCTTCCAAATATATGGGGTGCAAGGAGAAGGTTTATTGTGGATCTCCTGTTTTTGGCACTGGTGAAGTCCTTTAGCGCACTCATAAATCATAACTGGAGCATCAGGCCATCATAAGATAAGCTGGCAGCCAAAAAAACTATAGAGTTTATAGGTTAGAACTGCAGTTCAACACCCAGCTGATTACTAAAAAAGCAAAACAAACAACTATACAAAAAGGTAAGATAATATTTTTATCTTATTGCTTTATTTTATTATTTTATTTATTTTTTTATTAAGTTTTGTGCCTAAATATGCCTCAAAAGTTATTCTATGGGCTGAAACAAATGGAGTGCGCAAGGTCGACCCACTCAAGACTCTACATTGCTGTAAAATCTGAATTCTTATACAAATATGTCCAAACCCATCTCTATTGGGGTTATTGGGGTAAGCTAAATTGTCGGTAGTATATGAGTGTGTATGGGTGTTTCCCAGAGATGGGTTATCGTGCAATATCAGAGCTCCTACAGCCTCTTCACTCTTTGTGTATTACTCCGCTCACATACAGCCAGCAAAAAGCAGACACTACAAGTTTAAAAGATGCTCGCTCAACTGTTTAACGCCCCATTCACGCGGGGCTTCAGCGTCAACGGTTGACTGAAGGCGTGTCTGAAGTTGGGGCTGAATCAATCGTCATAGAAGCGTCAGCCAATGAAATTCAGTCAGCAATAGACTGATTTCATGCGGCCACCATTTTCAAAAGCGAAATCGAGGCTGCGGTGGTAAGAAACCCGGAAGTATCATTGGCAGTAAAATAGGAATGTTGTGTAACTGGCTATATAGCTTACTAGCGAAGAGAAAGTGACACAATTTTTTCATTTCTCCACCTTCCGGGTGACCCGGAGGTCCGTTCTGAATGAATGGTGAATATAATAAGGGATATCAGAGCTCATTTTCAGCTAAGTTAAGGGGAATGGCACTAGTTAGCTAATGTTTTCTTTCCCAAACACACGTTTTAGATGCTATTTATCAAACTCGATTTAATAAACTGATTTATATTTCATTATATTAGACTTGTCACTATACTGAATTAAATGAAAAAAACATAAATATCCCGCAAACATTAAGGCACTGTTGATGGCTTTGTTAAAACAGCGCTGATTTGCCATTGTGGTCACGTGTTCAACAAAAATGATTGTGATTGGCCGAGAAGGTCATCAGTTCACCGCTGTTTACCGAGCACACACACAACACAGACAGAGGAGTGATCTGCTTGATGACTCGACTGATCTTGACGGCTGCTTCGCGCTTCAGTCTCCGTGTATCGTTGTTTGCACTGGGTGAAGAGCGGTAAGCTGAGTGCAAACCAAACGCGTCCTCACGGTGTTTAACTGGTGCCATGAACTGAAGCCCAGGAGGACACTTAAGCGCATCACTGAGATTGTGATGTTGTTTGATGCTAAATTGCTTTTAATTGTTTAAAATAAACTTACTGAATGATATTAAAGTGATGGTTACATCATTTCTGCAACAGCTGGAGGTTTATAATACACGGCATGTTACTGCAATGTTTACAGTGCTGGTCCTATACTTCCGGGTTTCTTCCCACCGCAGCCTCGCTTTGGTTCTTTAAAATGGCGGCCGCGTGAAATTAGCGTATTCACCTTATTCTCCGCCGACGAGCGGGCGCTGCCATCTGAATCTTTTTTGTCTCATTCACTTCCATTCATTTTTTGACGTTAAAAACTGCTCGTTACGCTGCTTGATGTTGCAATTTGATATTTTCTTCTTATATTATTCTACTTGGTCTGTATAGTCAGGCAAACATTTGTTTGTAGAGCAAATAGTTTGACCATTTTCTGCCGTTTATTATTCCTAGTCATTTCTCCCATAGGCGACTGAATCGGAAGTTCTAAGACAATCGCGAAAACAGGCGCACTTCCGCATTTTAGAATAAGGTCAATAGGCCACTGTGTAGCTGGTGAATTTGCATACAGTGATATGATTGGCTGACGCTTCCCTCAGCACTTGAAAAGTTGAGCTAGTCCCAACTTCTGCAGCGAGCAACGCCTCTGAAGCGGCGCCCACGCATCCACAACGCCTGACGTCACCCATTCAAAGTGAATGGGAAACGCTGACGCCCGTGTGAATGGGGCATAACTGTCAGCTTATGATTTGAATCCAATGTGGAAGAAAGTAGTTCCACATTCAAAAGGGTTTTTGAAACGCTCCATGTTTGATTTTGTTTTTATATACACAATTATGTCGTCAAACTGTTGTATAAAAGCAATATCACATTTGTAGCAGTGCGATATGGCTGTATATCGGCACTGGTGGGAGGCGTGCACCCACCAGTGCCGATATACAGCCATATCGCACTGCTACTCATGTGATATTGCTCCTGTATCATATGTATGTGTGGTGTGAAGTGTGTTCTTTGTTCTTGGCTGTTGAACAATAAAAAAAAGTTGAATTCCAAATAAAAAGAAAAGCAAAGAAAAAAATTCTAAAGAAACTCTTCAGTGAATTAGGTTTTATTTGTATTTTCCCTGTTACTGTTAGTGTTGAACGACTGATGATTTTATTTCCAAAGAAAAATGAACAAATAAAGCACTGATGCCTCGAGTGTTCCGATTATTCCTTGTTAACTCTGGCTTGTAAACAAGCTTAATAAGCAATACGAAGATATCAATTTTACTCAAGCAACCTCTCCCTAACTGTGCCTCTTAATTGATTAATCAATCTAAATAAAGCAAACTCTCTCACGTTCCTCTTCCTGTTTGCCAGTGTGTTTATGTGCCCAGGGCAGATATGCATTCAAGCTGCTTAAGGATTTATTCGTGAACTACACCAGTGCGCTGAGGCCTGTGGAGGACACAAACAACATCATTAACGTCACCCTGCAGATCACCCTCTCGCAGATCATCGATATGGTAACAACTCACGGTCAATCGCACTGTCTTTGTCACTTTATCATTCTCTTTCTCTGATGGTTTCTGGGCTTAGTTTTAGTCAAGCTCTTGAAATGCGCTGTGTAAGCATGCAGCCTTTTTTGCTTTTAAATCAAGACACTACTAGTGAATATGGCAAAATATTGTCACCTTAGAATTATAAGGTTCTATCAGACATTTTTGCCAGAATTGAGTTATTGACATATTCTTATTAAATAACAACTTATTTACATTGTGCTTTTTTTTTTTAATAAGATGTTTATATTTTAAGCCTTTTTATTTAAAAAACAAAAACGATTTATCTAGAAAGTTGAACTCTAGCTTGGCTCTATAAGGTTCTTTCTGTGAGCCAGTCAGCATTTTTAATGCACGCACGAGGACCAATCAGGATCAGCTTTCTTTGTCATTTACCGGACTGCTCCATTGACAGCGGGAAACACCAGAAAGACACAAGCTGCGTCCCAAATCGCATACTTATGCACTATTCTACGCCATTTTGTAGTATAAATAGTGTAAGTAGTGTGTTCACACTGAAAACTCTTAAAATAATAAGTGCACTTTAATTACCCGGATGATGCACTCATTCAGCCGCTAAAATGAAGTGTGTAATGATGGACACTTCACGCACTCAACGACCGCAGGTTTGCTTACGTAGCGGAAGGGGCGGAGCTATCGGACGCACATGTTGAATAACTTTATTTATTTTGGAGTGTGAAAGCAAAATTCTCCTACGAGAGTGATTATATCGCCTCCCAATGGTGAATGCGGCAATACTCACGATAGGTATTATTTGATAATTCTGTCGTTTATTTCACTTATTTGGCAACGGTTTGAATTTCCGTTTAGTAAAAAAACATTAGTGTGCCATTTGGGACAACACTACATACATGTACTATCCTGTTGAGTGTGTAAGTGCATAAGTACATAGTGCATGAGTGCATAGTGTATAGTGTGCCATTTGGGACACTAAAATCACACAAAATCAAAACAATGCCACACCACACAAAACTGAGATGTGTGTAAATGTGATGATTTAGAAGCATTTTTTGACATTGAGATTAAATTTTAAAATATACATTGTTAAAAAAGACACAAAATATTTTTAAAAAAGATATATTAAATGTGAAATATTTTTGTGTAAATATAGTCAGTGAAACACTTTTCAGTGTTTATTAAACTCATTTGCTCATAGTCTGTTTGCTTTTAAAGTCTTTAAATTTAATATTAAACCTTAAAGGGCTAATACTTAATTTAATTCATGGGGCATATAATTCAATAAATATATTTCAATAATTTATATACTGCATAAAGTGTAATAATTATGACCATATTAATTACATAAAATTTACATATGCACTGGATAAAATATTTAGCATAGCCTTGTATGGTAAACTTGAACAAGTAAAAAAATTCATCATACAGCATTAAATAAATGTTATAGAAAGCACAAATGTTACTTCTTCAAGCCTCAACATATTATTACAACACCAAACTATGTATATTTTTTATTGTATTTACTGAAAAGTAACGCTTCAATTAATGATCTGCCAGATAGAACCTTATAATTCCAAGTGAAAAATGACTTTTCAGAATGAGAAGGTTCTATCTGCATTTACCATGGTTTATTTGCTCCGATTAGCAAATGTAAGAGAACTTTGATAATTTACATTTAGAGTACCTTTAGAGTCCCTGTCATGTTAATGTATGAAAGAGAACTGTTACACACATATTGTTTGTTATATGGAATGCAAAAACTTTGAAGCTCAATATCTCAAAATTATTTAGAACGCAGATAGAACCTTATAATTCTAAGGTGACGATATGTTGTGTTTATATATGCAAATAAGGCATTTTATGTGTATTAGAATGTAAGGTTTTTTACAAAAGCAATTTGGGATATTCCTTTATGTCATTTTATAAATGAAAAAGTGCACCTTTTTCTATTTCTGAATGAATAAAATGTTTATGTGGATGAATTGAGACAAGCACTCTGTTACAATCAGAACATTTGAATAAAATCATTAGATTTGGAATTTGCAAGTGGTACTGAAATAAAGATATGGATTAAGAAATAGAGATTTAACCCTTTATTAGGCATTAAATACACACCTGGAGTGTTACTGGGGGTTATTACAGGACTTTTATGAGGGGTTAAATGTAAGTATTGTAAAATACACAGACGCAAACAGATCGTAACAAAATAAATCAATTAAAATAAATAAATAAATGCTTAAATAAATTCAATATTTTTTGAATGCATTCTTTCTACTTGTCTTAAAAAGCCAATAGTTTCCATTATTCATTAAACAAATATCTGGAATTTAAAAATCCACTGAAAATCAAAAAATGATTATATATGTATATCTATATATATATCTAAATATATCTATATATATATCTATATATATATCTATATCTATATATATATATACATACATACATACATACATACATACACACACACACACATACACACACACACACACACACACACACACACACGTACATGTATGTATGTATGTATGTGTGTGTTTGTGTGTGTGTGTGTGTATATATATATATATATATATATACATACACACACAGTTAGAATTATTAGCCCCCCTGAATTATTAGCCCCCTGTTTATTCTTTCACCAATTTCTGTTTAACGAAGAGAAGAATTTTTTTAACACATTTCTAAATATAATATTTTTATAACTCATTTCTAATAACTGATTTATTTTATCTTTGCCATGACAACAGTAAATGTTATTTGACTAGATATTTTTCAAGACGCTTCTATACAGCTTATAGTGCGATTTAAAGGCTAAATTAGGTTAACTAGGTAGGTTGTATAATGATGGTTTGTTCTGTTGACTATCCAAAAAATATATAGTTTAAAGGGGCTTAAAATTGACCTTAAAATTGTTTTTAAAAAATTTCAAACTGCTTTTATTCTAGTCAAAATAAAACAAATAAGACTTTCTTCAGAAGAAAAAATATTTTCAGACATACTGTGAAAATTTCCTTGCTCTGTTAAACATCATTTGAGAAATATTTAAAAAAGAGAAAAAAAATTCAAAGGGGGGCTAATAATTCTAACTTCAACTATATATATATATATATATATATATATATATATATATATATATATATATATATATAATGTGCCATTGCCAAATACAAGCCAGCATTTTTGCTGGCCTCTTTTTGATGACATGTCTGTGTGCAAAACTGTTTATAAATGTGAAGGATTTCATGTCCTTTATGTGAAGGACAGAAAAATTGTTCAGTTTTGACAAAATTTTTATCATGTACTCATACAATTAGACATGTGATAAACTAGAATTAACATTTGATTTAAAAAACTGACATTGATTCATGTCTGCATGTGATTTTTATTATCATTCAATGCTAATTGTTTTTGTGAATTTGGTGTTTATATGTCTCTAAGTGTCATAGATTGATTAATAAGTGCTGTAAGTTCCATCTTTTTTGCTTCCTAGGATGAACGAAACCAGATCCTCACAACATACCTGTGGATTCGCCAGGTCTGGTTTGATGCCTACCTCACCTGGAATACGACAGACTACGATGGGCTTGATACCATCCGCATACCTAGTAGTTATGTATGGAGACCCGATGTTGTCCTATATAACAAGTAGGTTGGATTGGTATTGGGTTTCATCAGTTCAACCACCGATTGAATGTCATGTCCTCTCATCACTTTGTTGTTGCAAAGAACACAGGCTGTGGATTCTTCTGAAGCGCTTGTTCATAAGAGTGCAAAGCCAGTTCTTCTCATAACAAATCATCCTGACTATGTCATTTATTATGTAATACCAAGCCTTAACATTTAATTATTTGCCGTTAAAGGGTTAGTTCACATAAAAAACTATATTCTGTTTATTATTCACTCTTGCGTTGTTCCAATTAAATTTTTTTTTTGGGATAAACCAACCCTTTAATAAGTTATATTTATGTTATTGTTCTATATTTCTGATCCATATTTAACCATAACATTGCAGCATTTTCAAAGTTAAAGTCTTAAAAGCTTTGATTTTAATGCATGACAGATGGCCTGAGTTTTACACTAATTATTTGACATTAGACATTTGCTACAGTGGTTATTAATCCTCATCAATGTTCACTGTAAGAAAAAAAAACGTTAAAAAAAAGGTCAAATGGCTGGCAGCTACGGCTGCCAAACAAAAACCATAAAATTACGGTAAAATGTCTTTGTTGAAATAAAGTGCAAAAAATAATAAATCTACAGATATTTTCATTAAAATGTTTACAGAAAAACACTGTGGTTTTACAGACTTTTCCTAGATTATTACGATCAAATTCGTTCAATAAAGTTACACACTAAGAGTCTTACAAAGAAACACTGTTATTATACAGACTTTTCCTAGATTATTATAATCAAACACCATCAATAAAGTGACTGCACTAAAAGTTCAAGAGAAAACAATGTTATTTAAAAGAATTTTCCCTAAATCATTACGATTAAACACCTTTAATAAAATGCCAAGACATGCTCATGATCGTAATTTAACAGTTTTATTTTGCATCAAAAAAATTTGGAAAAAACAACAAACGAGATATAACGGATTAAAATTCTTACAACTTTAAAATTACAGTTGTTACATTTTATTGAATAGTGTTTATGTAAAACATGTAGAGGTTTAAGTTATTTGGAATGATTCAGTTACAGATCTTAAATGAAATGGAACTGTAACGTGAAGGGGACGCTGACAAATGAGTGCAGATCCAAATGCAGGTTTATTACACAGAGATGGTCAGGCAAACAACCGTCAACACAAGGGCAAACAGATGTAACATTATGCAGGGAATCCAGAGTCATGGTCAAATAACAGGCAAATGGTCAGTCCCGGCAGCAAACAACGTAAACAATTAACAAACAACGCAAGGCAAAAGAAGAGAAACGCGTCATAATGTTCACAGTAACAGTATAACAAGACTAAGCAATTGGTCTATGCTGCTTTGAAAGTGCATGTAATCAGTTCATAATGATCCTCCGACTGTGTGTGTGCAATCAGCGGAATCCGGAACAGGTGCATGTGAGCGCACTTAGTGTGTAACTATATTGAACGAATTTGATCGTAATAATCTGGGAAAAGTTTGTAAAACCACAGTGTTTTTCTGTAAACATTTTAATGAAAATATCTGTAGATTTATTATTTTTTGCACTTTATTTTAACAAAGACATTTTACTGTAATTTTATGTTTTTTGTTTGGCAGCCGTAGCTGCCAGCCATTTGACATTTTTTTTTACGATTTTTTATTTTTTTTTACAGAGCAAGTAGTTACAATTTATTACTTTCATTTTTCGTAATTTTAAATGTACTTCATTAAAAACAGGAAAAAACAGTGTGTGAATAATATGACAATTGTATTGTATAAAACAGACACATTGCTGTAATTTGTCATTAATTATATAGTACATAAAATTACAGTCAAGCTGTTAATTTACAGATATTGTTTGTAATTTTTAAGTATTTTTGAATATAATTTAAAATAACAGAAAAAATACTGTATAAATAATACTGTAATTTCCCTGTATAAAAACACAAATGTCAGTAATTTGTCTTTAATAATAAAGTACCTAAAATGAAAGTCAAACTGTAAATTTAGAGAGATTGTTTGTCATTTTACTAAGTTCTACATATAATTTTAAATGACAAAAATTACTGTCAAAAATTTAGGGATATTTTCTTTAAAATTAGGTTTTTTTTTACAGTATAGTTAACATGAATTATATGTTTCCAAACAAATTTAAAATCTTTATCAAAGGAAGAGTTCACCCAAAAATAAAGATTCTCTCTTTATTTGCTCACCTCCACTTGTTCCAAACCTGTTTGTTCTGTTAAATATTAAAAATTGCTGATTTGAGGAATGTTGTAAATTGGTATCTATTGACTTCCATAATATTTATTTTTTCCTACTATGGATGTCAATTGCTTTTCGACATTTTTTAAAATATAGAGAATATTATTTATTTATAAATAAATTAAATATTGAGTATGTTTTCATTTTGGGGTGAGCCATAACTCTTATGATGTTTAAAAATGTACAAGTATTGCACTTTTATCTACTCAGTTTCTGCTACAAATATTGTAAAGTGCTTCTCTGTTATGAATATAAAAATGTTTAATGTTTGGTTGTAGAAAAGCACTATAAGTAATAATAATTTAACTGATTTCCACCTTCAGTGCAGATGACCAGTTCTCCAGCTCTATGGAGACTAATGTTGTGATCCGCCATGATGGCCAGATTATGTGGGACCAGCCCGCAATAACCAAGAGCTCCTGCAAAGTGGACGTTTCGTTTTTCCCCTTTGATGTCCAACACTGCCGCCTCACCTTCGGTTCTTGGACTCACAACGGTAACCAGATGGACCTTCATAACGCCCTGGACAGTGCAGACTTGGCTGATTTTGTGGAGAACGTGGAGTGGGAGGTTCAGGGAATGCCTGCTAAAAAGAACGTGATTCTATATGGCTGCTGCTCCGACCCCTATCCAGACATCACCTACACACTTCATCTGAAGAGAAGAGCTTCCTTCTACATCTTCAATCTGCTCATTCCCTGCATGATGATCTCCTTCTTGGCTCCGCTGGGCTTCTACTTGCCGGCAGACTCTGGAGAGAAGGTGTCTTTAGGGGTCACAGTGCTACTGGCCCTTACAGTCTTCCAGCTTCTGGTTGCAGAGAGCATGCCTCCTTCAGAGAATGTGCCGCTTATAGGTCAGTCACTTTGATTTATACTTTACTAATTATACTATAATATACTAGTTATAAATCAATTTTCTAAAATGCAAAGCAGCTTTATATTTTATTTAGAACTGTATGTTACTGGGGACATATGCAATGCTGTTGAGTGTTGCAACAGTGATAAACAGTTGAGGGCAAAATTGTGAATTTCTTTTTCAAATATTTCCTAATTGATGTTTAACAGCATGAATTTTTCACAGTGTTTTCTATAATATTTTTATTTTGGAGAAAATCTTTTTTGTTACTGGATTAAAATCAGTTTTTACATTAAAAGACACAACAATAGAAAGTCAGGGCTTAATTTGTGCCGGAACCCGCAGGATCCGGCACCTCTGAAATCTGATCCAGCACCTGATTTTACCGATCCCCCATCTCAACCTCCCTCCTTCCCCATCTGGCGTTCACTTTTACTTTCTTCTACAACTCCCCAACCCTCTTCACTTTCATCTGGTGACAACCCCCCGCTCTTCACTTCCGGGAGACCCCTCCACCATCCATCGACCCCGCTCCAATACCGCTCTTCATTTTCATGCCCGACACCTCTCCATCATGCTAACATGCAGGATCCGTTACCCCGATCTGTTCCGGGACCTCGCAATTCACAAATTATTCATTCATTCATTTTCTTGTCGGCTTAGTCCCTTTATTAATCCGGGGTTGCCACAGCGGAATGAACTGCCAACTTATCCAGTAAGTTTTTACGCAACTGATGCCCTTCCAGCCGCAACCCATCTCTGGGAAACATCCACACACACACTCATATACTATTTCTTAATATACTATTTCTTCCCCTATTTTTACAGAAATAATCTGTAAATATTAACATAGCATTACGTGTTACTGTGTTAAAATAAATTAAATTTCTTTTCAAAAAGCTGAAAAATAACGTAATCCAAAATAACCAGCAACAACTGTAAATTTAATGTTAGAATTTTTTATTACAGAACATATACATATACACTGTATAATGAAAAAACTGGAAAATTCTGTAAAACAATTACAGACAATTACCTGTAAAACAATGTTTATTTTTTACATTGTATATTTATATATACATATATACATATATATTTATTTATATTTATTTATATATATATATATATATATATATATATATATATATATATATATATATATATATATAAGTACTGTATACATTTTGATTTAATTTAAAGATGGAGAAAATCAACAAAATATATTGATGTCTAGGGTATCTAAAATGGACTTTTAGTGTATCGACAATCAACTTAAACCTCTCTTAAAATATTTCCTATTCTCCTCAAATCAAAGTCAGTCATACAGAATGGAACAACATGAGGGTGAGTAAATGATGAGACGCTCTGCATTTTAGCTGTACCCATGCTTTAACTACTGTGTTGCAGGAACATGACATTTCAGTTAACATTAAATTAATCTATAATTACAACTATAATTTTCCACTTGGACTTCCAGAGTACCTTTGGTTCGGTAAATCAGTTCTGGGGTTTTTATTTTCTACCCATTAAAGTGGGTGCATGCTGTATGAATGTTTAATCTTCTTTATTTAGCACATCATTTCCTTGGGTGTCCTTGGTGTGCATTTAGGAGATTCACCAAAGAGAAAACATCTCCACCGACAAGGTCTAAAAGAGTTATCAGATGCAAATAAGCTGCTAGAGCAATAACCAATGCGCCATGAGTCAATAATTTTAATGAGCCTTCCTAATGAATCTGCAACTGTGCCTTTTTATAGCTAACTTAGTATTGGAGCTGTATAGCCTAATCAGTGTTTAACACTGGAATTATTCACAGAGTCTTTCCGCTTGAGGTCTGTTAATCAATGATACTCACGTCACACAGAGCTTTAAAGCTATCATCAAATCTAAACTGACAGTTTAATGGATTAATGATGTATAATAATATTACAATACAGTACAATATTGCAAACATTTTAGACTTTGATTTATCTTCAGAATACAGATTAAGACAAAAAATCTGATATCAAACAATTAAATCTGTTGACCAAAAACTTTGACATTTCAAAACATTTGTAAAAATTAATCTTCAGAGGAAACATGATCACTTTATATGTAACAGGTTCACTAGTCACTAGTGTCTAGTGAACAACAGTCGGACACAACATAATACATGATTAAATATATTAAGAAAAATAATAATAATTTACAGAAAGAATTATTATTATTATTGTTATTATTATTGCTGTTATTATTATTATTATTACTATTATTATTATTATTATTATTACTATTATTATTATTATTATTATTATTATTATTATTATTATTATTATTGCTGTTATTATTATTACTATTACTATTATTATTATTATTATTATTATTATTATTATTATTATTGCTGTTATTATTATTATTATTACTATTACTATTATTATTATTATTATTATTATTATTATTATTGCTGTTATTATTATTATTATTATTATTATTATTATTATTATTATTATTACTGTGTAAATTTATCATCCCTAAATAATAACCACCAACATTGCAGCCAATAGACCCTTTTCACATTTACGAGTTTCTCAGTAGCTGAAGTCGTCATACAGTAGTTGGGTAAACTAAGAGCGCAGTGATTAGGATAGGAGAATTCAACAAATCATATTTTACAGTCCTATTTGCTGAAATAATAATAAAAAACAACAACTCGATGGTGTTATCAAGACTTTCAGAAAAAGGAAAAAAAAATATGACAGCAGTCAAACAAGAGAATAATGTCAGATTTATTTTCAGCCCAATAAATGCTGCATTAGAAACGCCTCACATAAGCGGCAATTCGTTTTTTTGTAATTTGAAGCAAAGATGATATAATGCATACATAAAGACATATATAAATGTTTGTACGTTCTAAATAAAAAATCTAAATATAAAAAACTTTCAAGATTTACAGATTATGATGACCGTTAAATGTGTCATAACAGTCTTGTGAAAAGAGTCCATCCCCAATTACCAAAATCAAGTTCTGCCCTCATCTGTGAAGACACTTCACTCGACTTTACATCACAATAGTGAAGTCGAGAATATTGTAACTTTCAAGCTTAGGCATTCATTGGTGATAGCTGTGTAATGAATTCTGCTGGATGTGTTCATCAATCCTAATGTTTCCACAGGGAAATATTACATAGCCACAATGACCATGATAACAGCCTCTACAGCCCTGACCATCTTCATTATGAACATCCACCACTGTGGACCAGAAGCCCAACCAGTTCCCTCATGGGCGCGCCGATTTATCCTCAACTACCTGGCTCGGTTTTGCTTCGTCTACGATATGGGACAGAGCTGTGTGTCCGTTCACACAGATCAACCAGCGAAGAAGGGAAACAACTGCACCATAAATGGCCAAGCTAGAGGGGAGGACTTTGCTTTGCGGCTACATGAAGGGTGTTCACAAAAGGTGAAAGATCAATTTAATGAAGATGCCAGTCCAACGTTATCTCCACAACAAAGAAAAGAGCACCAGTCTGGCTGGAGAATTGGTACCTTTGTGGAGATTGAGCATGGAGAGTCTGCAGGAGCTACAGGAGAGACGGGAGCATCAAGGAAAGAATCGGTGAAAAAGAGGGAGATACTTGTTGAAAGTCAGTGTTTGTGCCATCAGCAAGCCCTTCTGAGGAACGTTGAGTACATTGCCAACTTTTACCAAGAGCAAAAGGCCACACAAAGACGAAACGCGGAGTGGCGGAAGGTTGCTAAAGTCATGGATCGCTTCTTTATGTGGATATTCTTCATCATGGTCTTCCTCATGAGTTTGCTTATTATAGGGAAAGCTGTCTGAATGTTTGATATGAAAGACAACTGGGGGCGTTGTGCATAAACATCTGCATACTACATTTGTGAGTATTAAAATGGAAAACAAACTGAGATAATGTCATGGACTCTAAAGGCTCTAGTATACTTTAAATAAAATTCTTTGTTTGAGAGTTAAAGGGCACATAGGTTACCCCTTTTTTTCATATTTAATATAAGTCTTTTGTGTCCCCAGAATGTGTCTGTAAAGTTTCAGCTCAAAACACCCATCAGAGCAGGCCCGGATTGGCTAATCGGGAGGACCGGGAGAATTCCCGGTGGGCCGGTGTCCCTAGCTCCAGAATCTGTTGCTCTCAGCAGTCACACTTTTTAAATTTATTTATTTACTTGACCACAGCCTTTTTATTCATTATTTTATCGCAACTCTTCTCTTTTTACCTATTTTAATGATGACAAAACTTAGTTGTGTCTCCTTACTGTACACAGCTGTTGTGGTCCAGCGGTTAGCACGTCAGGTTAAGACTCCGCAGACCCGGGTTCGATCCTCGTTAGTGTAATTTATTATTTTCATTTTTATTGTTGAGACGTATAATACTGTTTGTGTTGTTGAACATTTGAAGTTCTAAAGCAGCTGTTTTCTCAAAAAAAGACGTGATAGTGTAATTAGCAACTGAATTGGAAATGACCTTATTTTAATATAGTCAGTCGTGAACTGAGGTGGGCCGGTCTGAGGCTTGAAACTCCAGGGCTGAAAAGGAGTCCCACTCCGGCCCTGCATCAGAGTATGTATTATAGCTGTTTGAAGTGTCTGTATTATAGCTGGGAAAAGGTTGTTGCTGTTTTTTTGCACTGGGCCTTTAAGGCGAGTCATCCCCGCCCACCGTTCCCACGTGCTTGTCAGCAGCATGCCTCAATCGCCGCCCTCGGCTGCCTCAGGAAGCAGATCTCACGTAACGTTTGTGAGAAATACTACAGTAAGAACTTTACCAATCAGTATTTGATGCATTTTATGTGGAGTTGCAACAATGAGTTCACGCACACACAGCGCAGACACGCAGACAAACACACACACATGGCACAGACACGTAGCAAGACACACACGCAGATACAAAGCGTAGAGACGCAGGCAGACACACACACATAGCACAGACAAGTAGGCTGGCACAGACACACACGCACATACATAGTGTAGAGACGCAGGCAGACACACACACACACAGACATGTAGCGCAGACAAAAACGCACATACATAGTGTAGAGACGCAGGCAGACACACACACACACAGACAAGTAGCGCAGACAAAAACGCACATACATAGTGTAGAGACGCAGGCAGACACACACACAGACAAGTAGCGCAGACAAAAACGCACATACATAGTGTAGAGACGCAGGCAGACACACACACACACACACACACAGGGAGAGACAGTGAGAGAAACACGCTGCTGTGCTGATGAAGTGAATCTGAAGTGAATGGCTGTACTTCATTACACACATGCACACGTTTTAAAACATGTTAAACTTGTAAAACTCACTCTTGATCACGTCTGATGATGATTGATGATCCTTGCAAACTGAACAGACCTTTTATTCCCGGTTGCTTTGCGCTCGTCCTGTCTTGTCGACATGAGTATATGCATTACTACGAAGACATGTTAATGCGCACAGCTGTCAACCGATATTGGTGGTCTGGGGGAACCGCACTCCTACGTAAAGTTGCGGTCGGTCTGAAAACCGCTCCAATTGGTCCACCGTTTTTATGTTGTTAAATTTGAAAAAAAAAAAAGGACTGGGTGTGTTTATTTCACCCCAATATGACAGTATATACACTATACTTACACACATGTATGTCCAAACAGCTTAAAAAGTAGATCACCATGGGTGCCCTTTAAAAGAAGTTGAGTAACAGTATACAGTTTTTTGACAGTCCAACACACTCGACCTAGGCAGGGTTGTAAATGTGCCATGCCGTTGGAGTGTACCCCTAAACACAACAATAGCACATGAGAGAAGAATCATTTCACAAACATCTGGCAAATAACCTTCTCCACCAGAACTGCCACTGCGACACGTGTCATACGGAATGGTGCCACTAGTATGCACAAACTCATATAAAAGACATGGCGCAGTGAGGTGAGCTTCTTGTCCATCTTGTGACCCCCCTCAGAATCTATAAAATTTCTTCGCAAGTGATTGTACTGGGGTGCGTTTCCGAAAACCATTGTTAGCTTACTAAGATCGCAAGTTCCGTCGTAACAAAGATAGTTTGTTGATTTGGCGTTTCCCGAATCCGTAGTTCCAACGAATATTCGCACACTGCACAGCAAACTTGTAAGCTTACAACTACACCTCTAGAGCTGTAGTTAGATGCATAGTTCCTGATTGTGTTCTATTTCCAGTAATCCCCCCTATGCCTTTTCTTTTAGAATGTTCCAACATTTAATAAAAAGCATTAAAGAGCCCATATTATGGGTTTTGGAAAATGCCCTTCCATGTAGTGTGTAGTACAGCTCTAAGTGAACCAAGTAGTTGCGTGTGGAAACCCGGGAGATTTGAAACATGCGGCCCCGCCCTCTAACACAGAAAAAGCCCCCCCCCCAACCCCCCAGTCTGGAAACTACATGCTACAAAGAATACTTCATCGGCCGTTTGTTAAAGGAAGGATCAGTAAAGACTACTGATGGAAAATGTCAGAATCTGGATCGGTTTCTTCCTCCATTTCTCAAGTGTAAGTAAGTGCAATTAAAGTTGTTGCCTCGTTTACTCTAGCTTGCAAATGTATTTATTTGTGATTTGTTGTAACCGCATATACTGTATCAGGTTAACTCGCTTTATTGTCCTATCGAGTGTAAAGTCACGTTAAAAACGCGATGCGTGCCGCTTTGTTTACGGAGGGTAATGTGTGTGTGTGTGTGTGTGTAGTGTTGTCTGAGGAGAGAAATGTGTGTGTGTGTGAAAAGAGCAGAGTGAGACAAGCTAGGAGATCTCCTCGCCAGTTCTTGGAGTTTTTGCTCAATAAAATAGTTAGTCGTCTGTATTTTCAAGTCCATCGTCTGTTTTTACATTCACCCACTGGCAGCCAAATCCACACCCATAATCCACGCCACCACTATGTAGCGTGTATGCACTGTGACTAATTTTATATTGTTGATTAGCTGCTGGGCATTTCACTTTGTCTCGCACTAAAGGCAGTCAGTGTCGTTCTATCACAACAGGCTGTCATCAGTCCAATCAGCGCAGATTAGCTTAGCGCTAAGGAGGGGTTTGGAAACAAATGAATCACTGAACGATTCATATGGGAGTCGCTGGGATAATTAGGAAAAAATAAATGCAGATTACAAGATAATGAAATAGTTTTTTGACCTTGCATGCATATAAGATTGTTGTTGGAGACACAACCAAAATATGACCCTATTTCATGTTTAATATGGGCTCTTTAAAGTCATCTCTATTAGATGTAATTTGATTTCAAAATTTCAGGTCTGTGTTAGCGATCTTCATATTGACAATTGCGTTCCCTTCGTAGTGCACTTTGACAACATTTTTGCCATTTTGAACACCGTGTTTTTGCTGTGCTCTCATTTGCAATCTGCGCATGCAAAAATCTGCAATTTCCGCATATTTTTTAGCCTATCATTGAGTCTATTGATTTACTTAAATGTGTGTAAATGTGTGTTCATAAACAAAGCTAAAGCAGAGAAGAGTCCTGTTTTAGAGCATGGGGCGCCCCCTGGTGGTTCGGCGGTATGTGTTGCGTAAAGTGAGGCTCGGCTGTTCAAAGAAAGACAGAAAATTCGGGAGAAATACGGGAAAATACCTTTACTGGGTAATAGCGGGATAAAACAGTAAAATACAGGAGAATCCCAGGAAAAACGGGAGGGTTGACAAGTATGCTCAAAAGTGTTTGAAAGTTACAACAAACTCCCTAAAAGGTTAGCTTTGAGGAGCTATTGTAAAATATGGAAACCCTCTTTTGTTGAAAATGACGTAATTTCAGTTCGTTCTTTAATTTCGTTTAAAGTATACCGGGCCGTAATTGTGATGACAAATACTGGGTGTCTTTTGTTGTTATATTGTTGTAGATGAATTCAGATTATTGATTATGAGCTACTGTGTGGCCACGGTAATTTAAAATTCATTCAACAAATCTCTGATATACTCAAAATCAGAGGAATGCAATAATTGCTTTTTTCACGGCCAAGAATGCACAAGCCTGGCTGTATTTCAATGCAGATATTTATAATGCACAGCAGTTTTGCTACTTGTAAATGATTAAAAGTGTTTTTTAGCATCGATTTGAAATGCAGTTACTTAAAATAGTTAACGTAATGAATAATAACAAACATTTCAGCTTAAGATATTCATGTTTGTATGGCGACCAGAATTTACTCTTGTTTTACCTGCTTAGGGCATCACATTCATTGTGCCAAAAAGCAAAATGTAAAGTATGTACTTTATTTATTTGGTTATTTATTTTTTATTTTAAAAGCTCAGGCAGCATTTGACCACACACTAAATCATCCATCCATCCCTCCAATCTTGCTTGTTTAAAAAGCTCAAACAATAATTTTCTTCTTTGTTGGATGCAGTGCCAATTTAATGTATTATTTTTCTGCTCTAATATTAACAAAGATTTCTGCAGACATATCATCTTAACTAATGTATCAGATTGTGTGAAACATAAAAGATAGATTGCTTTTTATAATGGGTAATGACATGGAGAAATGGAAATGTACAAAATTGAGAGCAGAATAAAAAAAAAAAATGGAACCCAAAACAAAGTAACCCCGTCTGATTCAGATGTAGGCTGTAATGTTTTGCCTGTTACTGCATGTAAGCCATAGTATGAGTGCCTGATTTGGGTAAGTGTACATACAATAACAATATGTATATAAATGTAATCAGAAGCACAAACTTTTTGTGGTGTTTTACAAAAGTTCAATCTGCAAAATGTAACCTTCACACAAGTAAATCCATTAAATGAATAGCAGAAGCCAACGCTTGTGATTTATGGACATAGACATTTCATGTCATACCACAATAAAGGACTGAATTAAACCTTCATCGTCTCCAGTGGTTTGCTAACAGTGTGATTTATGAAATGAACCACTTCGGCTCAATTTTAATCCTTTTTAAGGTGGTAATGCCATTGATAAGTCAGAAATAATGGGTTTTGTGTAGAGGCCAATTT